GTTTTTGTCTCTTCATGGAATCTGAAGCATGGCCTGAAGAATGTCCTGCACTGTTAAATGGAACCTTTTCTTTATCAGTCCCTGGTCTTCCCCCTGAAGTTCAGCAGGCCTCTGCCCTCCTATCATTCTAAAAAACACTGAAGACCTGGTTTTTCCCCCTGGAATAGGGTGAGGTGGATGAAAAGTATGTATGTCAGAAGTTCAACGTTGGTGCAATGTTTTTAATGCTTATGGTTTTAATATATTTATAATTATATTCTTTCATTATTGATGTTGTTTAATTGCTGTTTGGCAAGTGCCGAAATTCGATACAAGATGGGCAGCTTTATAAATGTTATAAAGTTGTAGACTTCAGTTGTAGACTTTAATTAGGTAACCTTTTTGCCTCTTGTGAGTTAAATCCACGCTCCTCCTGGCTCCTTCAGGTGATGGTAGTGGTAGTGGAGGGGAAGCTGAGTCCAGGATGTAGGGAGTGAGAACAGCCACTTTGAAAGAACTAGTGATATGCCTCTTTCTCAACAACTTCCCTGGCTCCAGCTCTGTTGGGAAATTATCATATGGTCTCCTGTTTTCCCTTTGGGAAGGTTGTCAATAAAGTTGAGAAGTATCTATCCATTTACACAGTGTCCAGATGAAGAGGATTATCCGAAGAGCTTTTAGCCTGATCCCAACTTACCTTGGTATAGAAATAACAGTACTTGCTTTAGTGGATATACTTTGCTGTGACACAGTAGTGGGATTCAAATCCTGGCACTACCGGTTCGCTATCGGTAGCGTGCAGCACTTCTGCCCATGCGCAGAGCGTTTTTGATTATGTCTGGGTGGAGCCTCCCGCTGCCACCACCGATTCGCCCGAACCGGGATGAACCGGTAGAAACCCATTACTGCTGTGACATGAGGTAGGTGCTTCTTCTGAGACTTCTCAGTAGCATCTGACACCATTGATCGTGATATTTTTCAGGTCTTCTATGAGGATTGGCAGTTGAAGACTCTCTTAAGGTTAATTGCACTGTTTCCTGAGTGTGCATTTCAAGCTGATGGTGCTGAGGAAGCAGAGGCCACCTTATTGAGCATTTACTGGTGGGGTGCCCCTAAATTCTCTTTGCTTTTCACTATCCATATAAACCATTGGATCTCAGTGAGGTATTAGCAGGGTGCTTTCCATCTCCACTAGTCCAAAGTGCTGTTCAAGTCATGAATGGGAGTTTGAAGGTTGTTGGGACCTGGATGAATGCAGGCTGTTCACTCTTTCTTCAGATGATTTTTCTATTTATTCCGGTTGTAATTGAGGTTAGGGTGGGATATATCCTCAAGCAGATCTGTAACTTTGGATCCTCCAAGATTCATGGCTTCTGCCAGAGGAGCTTGTTGAGGCTGCTGCAAGGAATCAGCTGGAGACTAGTTGCAGCTCTACCTAAAGTGGGAGGATCTAGCAATGGTGATTCATGCCCTTATCATATGATTGAACTACTACTATTTATTTATTTATTTAGTTTGTCAAGCATGTATGAGAAAACAAGTATAAGTATAAACATAACATTATAAACAGGTATAAGTATATACATAAGAAATGAGTATGAATAAATGGGAATACTAAGCTATATAATATGTACTATATGCACTTCATGGGGTTGCCTTTGAAGACTACTTGGACAAGGTGCAAAATGTCTGTATGCATGCTTGTAAAATTTGCTTATGCTTGTACAGTTGAAAAAAAAAACTCCATCTAATTACGTAACACATTTTTGTCACAACAAATGGTTTGATTAGTAGCTTCCAGTTCTCCAACTTCTTTCATCTGTACAAAAGTTTTTTTTGAGTCTCAAATAATTTAATTCACATTCAGTGCTCCTCTAATTAGCTGCTTTATATAGGCAGTCCTTCAGGTTCAAAGACAGGCTGTTATGCAGTTCATTCGTGGACTAATTAATTAATTACTGCTTTAATCTAACAGAATTTGCCAAAACAATTATTCGATTTATTTTTTCTACTGATCTTTTAAAGAATGTCCAACATAAACAGACTGGTATTTTTCTTTCTTGCAGACGGGATCCTGAAGTTTTTCCACTCTATACTGTAGATCCAAAACATACACCCCAAAGGTTGTAAACATTCTTCAAGTGCCACCCGGGTTATTTTTTTCATCCTCCAGAAATGTCTTAAGCAGCTCCTGATAAACACTTTCCTATTTTCTCTACTTCTCTTCTGCAGAGCAGTCCCAGAGTTTGTTCTTAACTCTTAGTAGTTTGCTGTATCCAGTTTTAAAGGTCCCATTTTTCTGCGGAGATGAGCAGTTTCCTAGAGAAAGTTCTTCCTTCTCTTTAAGTTACCATTATTTCCAGCATTAGATTAGCATAGAGATCACTGTAGCTGGCAAGTAAAAACTGTACAGTAAAAACTGTAGATATTTTGTTATTTTTTGCAAGCTGTCCAGAATCATGAGAATATGTTGTGACATACAAATGTTTATAAATATATTAATTTTCCAACATAAACAGAAAATACAAGTGGAAAATTAAATAAACTTGGAAAGATGCTTTCAAAAATATTAAAAAACCTGAAATATGTTTTTAGTTTCAGGCTGTTTCACATATATATGTATAGTAGCACCAAACTGAATGAGACATATGCATCTATTGAAAAGTGTAGCTTGAAATGATATGAATAATTAGTGTAGTGCTTTTTTGTTATTAAGAACAAAAATTACTCAAGTTTTATTTCTGTTCGATGACAAGGTAATTGAAATAAAGTATATACATGTGTATACATGTCTATTTATCAGTCTGTAAGCAACAGAATTTTTGAGAAAATAATAATATTCTCCTTAAATTATAACACACTTAAAACAAGAAATTTATTATGGCAGCATTTTGTTATTATTTATTAAAAATGTTTTTATAACATTTACCACCAGATTTTAATTAAGTAAATTGTTCATAATTGTTAGAAAGATACGTATTGAATAACCCGTGCAAAGGAATCCTTGTTTTGAAAAATGTGATTAGAAAAGTTAAATTCTACAGTGAAATGGTGGGGTGCATGGCAAAAGCAAAGTTTTGATGAAGTTAGGAGCTATTGTTATCACGCAATGTAGTTGTGTTACTCCTAGCAACAGATAGTATATGGTTGTGAAGGTTGGATCTTAAAAAAGCAAGACAGGAAGCTGTGATGCTGGAGAAGGCTTCTGCATATTCCTTGGGCAATAAAAGTGACTAACAAACAAGTACTGGAGCACATAACATCAGACATATCACTTGGAAGGCAAAATCACAAAACTGTGTCTCGCTTATTTTGGCTATGTCATGCGGGGGAATTCACTGGAGAAAGCAACTGTGTTTGGAAGCGTTAATGGTAAAAAGGAACCAAAGAACATGGTGGCTGGACACCATCAAAGCTGATACCAGCCAGAGCACACAACCACTCGAAGAAGTAGTGCAAGATCAAAAGACGTGGAAAGACCTGGTCCATAGTGTCACCAAGAATCAGACACAACTGAATGGATAACATCATCATCATTTATAAGCTTTGAAGTACTTTAAAAAGCCCATATACCAGCCATATACCATATGCCAGCTATGTGGAAAATAATTCTGCACACCTGACCATTCCTGCTAACTGAATATTGTAACACACATAAAAATGTCAGTAAAACAAGCGAAAAACAGTATACAATTCACTTTATTTGAGCCTCAAAGTTATGAACTTCCAGTCATGCTGAGTTGCTTCTGACTTTGCTAACTCCGCAAGAGGCAAATAAAAGATTTAAGGATTTAGAGTTGAAAATTGTTAATTAAATCGACATTATGAAAATTTTGCAATTTCACAATTTCTTAAAACATCACCAAATATGTTATGTCAAACTTTTTTTATTTCACATTTGCCCGTTTAATTAACTACGAGAAAGTAAACAATATTTTCCCTTGTAATGAAAAACAGTAGAACATTTCAAAAGCAGGATTTTATAGATGTGAGAAGCATGATCATATTAACAAATAAGTGCACAAAACTTTTGGATTGAACAAGAGATTTTTAAAAATATATTTGGAGCTAGTTGCTATTTCATCCACCAATGGGTTTTATTTAGCACCAAATAAGAGTGTAATTCTAATATTGCAAGGCAATCATAAAAAGTGTTTAATGTGTTTATAATTGCTGTGAGATGAAGACTCAAAAATAACTTACCAATATTAAAAGTTACCGTGTGGCATAAAGATAAGTTATGCAAATGAATGTTTTTGTAGTCTCCTAACATTCTATACAGTATTCAGATATATCAATAACTTCTAATTATACATATTTAATTAAACTGGATAAAGTCATGTAAATAAATGTATTTCAATAGCAACTATTCCTTAAGTACTAAATCACAATCCTCCATCAAGAGGAAAAACAGTTATCAATACTAATATACCTATGAACAGAAACTATTTGAAGGACAAAAAAGTTAATTGTATTTGTTAATTAATAAGCATGGGAAATAAATAAGATACGCATATCTTATTTATTTCAATTTAAATGGATATACCTCTTGTCACAATGACACTGGGTGGTGCATAAAATTTAATTGAAACCATAAAATATACAATGCTAGACGTACAATTCAAAACAAAAACAGCAGCCAAGAATAAAAAGCAATATATCAACCCACCCCATAAGATATATACTATTCAGAAAGCTGCTTAACCAAATCATTTGGTGACAGATTATTTTCAGTCAAATATGAATTAAAGTTCTCTTCTTGTGACAGACAGCTGAGATAGCTTTAAGCCAATGCACTGATGAGTGTGTGAAGAATAAAGCTGTGTGGAGAATAAAAATGCTTTGAAGATATTTATGTACAAGGAAATAGGGCACTTTAATGACCAGAAACATTTTGGGCCCATCCTCATTTCATTTACTTATCTTCTTCTTGCCAATCTCCAACACTCTATTTAGGGAAGCTCTTGTTTTAAAAATCAAATACAGAGATAATAGCAAACATAAATATATGGTCAACCACATTATTAAATTCAGAGTGAAAGTTTATTGTTCTGTTTCCTATTACAATAAACTACCAAGTTTGTACAGTATAAAATAACAATAGCACAAAGCAACAATACAAAGTAATGCTGACACTGGGTCAGAGTACAGCAGAGGAAATGGCTTCAGTACTGTCTTGCAATTCTACTGTACACATAAACTCTAAGACTACTGATTTTAACATAAAATTATTTTTCACATTTAGATGCAAGAGGATATTATATAACTTGGGGATCTTGGATATCAACAATTAAAACTGAAGGAACACAATGAAATAAAAAAGTTCAAAAAGAAAGAATCACAAAGCTCTCTAGATGGGCAATGACATGTTCCAACCATACCACCTTGTGTACGTCTCTCACCAAAGCGAACAGCCTGTAGAGAAAAATAAAAAGGTTAGAGGATGAGCTAGTATACGGGCCTGGGAAAAGTAATCACAGCTGACAGTAAACCTGGATTTCCCCCAATGTTTGAACTGTGTTATTCTCTCCAAACTGCATGCAGTCTGAGATTAGACTTCTGATTTTAACCAAATGATTAAAATAATGTCCTGATCCACCCCATCCACTATATGCTCATTAGCTCATTGTCAAGTACATATGAAGGTATAGAAGGTTCAGCTCTAACCTTAAAGGAAGACATCTTCCATGTGCCAACCGATTCAGATGTATTTGGTGCGATTGAGGGCTTTCTCAGCAAAATGACCACTTTCATCTGTGATTTTCTCCCAGTCTGTTTGTCCCACAATAAAACCAATGGCCCTCTTTCTGTCTGCATCCTTTTTTTCTTCAAGATCTGCCCACCTTACCTATTAAAAAAAAGACGCGCTGCTTGGATAACAGTCATTTCAGGAAAAAGAAGCAACATGCATAAATCTGATACAATTTTACCCCCTGCAGAGATTTTGGACAATTTAGAAAAGGCATTAGCCATCACTTCACTTGAGCTTCCTAATGTATTTATAGGTGAACAAAAGGTTAACTCTTACCCATGTTTAATTTTGTGATTTTAAAAATCAAACATTTGGATGAAGATGATATTTGTAAGAGAAAAAGAATAAGATTATTTTTAAATCTTTTTAATCTTGTCCTCTTTCACAAACCTTCCTACTTGGAAAAATGGATGAATAATTGAATTCTTTTTCAAAAAGTTTCTATTTTTTATTTTTCAATACTTGCTAACTTATTATTTTAAATTCTGTTTCTTTTTGGACAAGGACCTATTTAGTTCCTTAGAGCTCAGTGTGACTGTTCCACACAACTTTAGAATTCCTCTAACAAGCTCTGAGGATACTGGTGCCTCCTTCAGAAGCACTCAATATGCATTTGTTTTCTGAATATTTAGGAATGTTGCTAATTTTTTACCATTGGAGTTTTTATGCTTTCTACTTTGATTACTGAAGTTAAATGCTATTGTATTCAGCTCTATTCTAAATACAGGTCACCAATATCATATCATAACAGGCTTCGACTCAACCCCTCTAAGACCGAGTGGCTGTGGCTTCCGGCGTCCCGATATAGCCAGCTGGCGCCATCGCTGGCTATTGGGGGCGAGTTATTGGCCCGACAGAGAGGGCTCGCAACTTGGGTGTCCTCCTGGATGCACGGCTGTCTTTAGAAGAGCATATGACGGCCGTGGCCAGGGGGGCTTTTCATCAGGTTCGCCTGATTCGCCAGTTGCGTCCCTTTCTTGATCGGGACTCCCTACGCACAGTCACTCAGGCACTCGTCATTTCCCGCCTGGACTACTGCAATGCTCTGTACATGGGGCTCCCCTTGAGGTGCACCCGGAGGCTCCAGCTGGTGCAGAATGTGGCTGCGCGGGGGATTATGGGAGCGAGAGGGTGCTCCCATGTGACACTTCTCCTGCGCGAGCTGCATTGGCTCCCGGTGGACTTCCGGGTGCGCTTCAAGGTACTGGTTACCACCTTTAAAGTGCTCCATGGCATCGGACCTGGATATTTGCGGGACCACCTTCTGCTGCCAATAGCCTCCCACCGGCCAGTACGCTCCCACAGAGAGGGACTCCTCAGGGTGCCATCAGCTAGGCAGTGTCGGCTGGCGACCCCCAGGGGGAGGGCCTTCTCTGTGGCAGCACCTGCCCTCTGGAACGATTTGTCCCCGGAGATACGGAGGATATCAGATCTCCGGACTTTTCGCCGCGCCCTAAAAACTTTTTTCTTCCATCAAGCAGGGCTGGCGTGAAAACCCCCCCCCATTTTTTAGATATTAGATTTTTTAATTGTTTAATGGGTTTTAGTCATAAGGTTCTTAATTTTTGGCCAAAGGGTATAATTCTTTTAAATTTTTAAATTTTGTATTGGATGTTTTTTACGTGGCTGTGCACCGCCCTGAGTCCACCAGGAGAAGGGCGGTATACAAATTTAAATTAAATAAATAAAATAAATAAATAAATAAATAAATAAAGGGGACACAGATAATATTCTAACCAGTCTGTTTTCCAAGTTTATACCAAGCACTAGGTATACAAATTAAACTGTTAGCTTGATTCACATTTTGCTTTCTTTCATCCATATTATTTATTTGTAAAAACTATACTAATTAGATTATAATGAAACTGAGAAACGAAATACTAAAGTAATGAGGGGGAAAAGGTATGTCAGTGAATTTGCAACTTACAAAATGTGTCAGCAGGATGGACAGTCAAAAGCCAGAAAACCTCATAAAACTTTTTTAAAATAACAATCTAAGCAATTTTTGCATGCCCTTGGTAAAAAGGTGAAAAGCTATTTCAAGAAGAGAATCTCCATAGACATATTTCAAGGAGATATTGATGACCACTCTCAATTGCTGAGACAACAACGCAATGCTCCTACATCCAGTTGCATTTAATTGATTAGTTTGAATGGGAGAGGAATGTGTATTCCATTGAAAAATAAGGTTGTGCCCACAGTCACTTTCACAGCTCTTGGAGTCCCCACTAACCATAACTGGTCATTGCCATTTTGAGATAACAAACACCTAAAACTGTAAACTTCCAATAGGTAGTTCAGTGTTGAAAAACAAATTGCCTCACCAATCCCATCCATATGTTAACGTAACTCCATCGAACATAACAATGTTAAATATACTGAAAGGTTATTCTCTCCAGATATAAATGAATCCTATACCAACATGATTTATCCAGTATACTTTTGAGCAATAGCATTCCATTAACAAACATATCACCATTGCAAGAATAGAACTATTCATCCTATCAGAACGGCCAAGTTTTAAGAGCTTTCGTAAAGCTCAGTGTGGCTGGGTATGTTAAACCAAGATATTTATTACCCTTTTTTTCCCAGGTTCAGAAGCACGGCTATCATAATCATCTGGAAGCTGAAGGTAATCTTCCATTCTGCTGGCAATTGCTTCCCAATCACGTTTCCTCTTAGTACCAGTTCGCAACCCATCCAATTTGTCTGAGAACAAACACATAGCCTTATGGTTAAAGAAAAATTTGCATATGTGAACACAATGCATGGAGATTTTCTTAAACAGGTCATTGACAATATATAGTGATGAAATCCAAACATTAGGTGATGTCTTTGTGAGTGGCATAAATTCAAAATGGAGCACCCATTCTACCCTTTCGAAATTCAACCTTTTGTGTGCAAAATATGAACATGTATATGTATAAAGGAAACTACTACTTGTCTCGAATAGCTAACAGAATCCATGTACAATGGCGATACTTCAACCATTTCTGAAGACCAGTTTAGAAGTTCCGTTCTATGTTTTAAGCCAACACCATGGATGATGCATGAGATGTTCCACCAAGCATTATGGAACATTATTTCAGAATTATCACCAAAGAATTTGAATGTAATGCAGAATACCAGCTGAGGAGGAATTAAATCCAAAAGCAGATCAGAGGTATTTTGCCTTTGCTTCAGCAGCTGATATAAAGTTGAAATATGTGATTGTAGTAATTATTTGATACGGATCAACACATTTTTCTAAAACGGTATCTTTCAAACTTATTGCTAAGAAGCCATTTCTACAGGCTACATGCAAGCATTTATAAGTAAAACTGGTGTTTATCTTATACAAAAGAACTGTCTTTCTCAGTCTCACCATACTGTGGAGTAGACAGGTTGTTTAAAATTATTATCCCAGTCTCATCATACTGTGAAGTATACCGATCTTAAATTTATTATAAATACGCCTACATTTAAATGCAAAATAGAACATTTAAAGAGTATTTAAAATGGCTATCATAGACTATTAAAATAGCAAATTCCATATTATGCTGTTTTCTGAATCGAGTTTTAAATAACTTACATACTTATTTGTTAACAAAACATGCAGAAAAGTGCACTGATTTGAAAATTAACATATTATGTTTCTCTATGTCAGAATTATCTCTACTCTAATAATGTATATGGTTTGTTGTGTTATTTTTACTGGAAGAAGTTAAAAGCTTAGCAAAATTATAATAAGTGGGTTATTAAACTTATAATTATGTTTTAAGATTTTTTAAAGCAGCCAGTTAACATTCTGTATTTAATTATTCCGTTAACAGAAGAATTTATTCTGGTTTAAGGGCTTTAGTTTTTCTGTAACAGTAAAAATGTACTGAAATCTATTGAACATTTTCACTAATTATCTTACCAAAACCAATTTCATTTAAGAGTTAGATTATGAGCAGCATGAAGTAATGTGTAAAAACCATGAATAAATATAGCCATATGCACTTTTCAGATTATATGTGATTTATATTATAACTATTCAGCAACTGCCACAAACTCAAATCACAATCCAAATAATCCTGCACACAAGCCAAAAGTATTATTAATTATGTATGCATATATTGTGTGTGATTGTATTTGCTAATTTTTCTTGCCTTTAAGAACAAATTCAGGAAGGAAAGGTTGAATGGGAAGGAGAATATAAAAGGGTATATAAACACCTTGCTTTTTACTGTTGCAACCACAAATTGTTAACAGACACAAGTTATCAACAAGTTAATTCTTCTGTTCAACTGATACAAGAATAGTTTATGCAATATTCGACTAGAAAACAAAGAAATAAGTTCTAAGGAACAAACCTTTCATTGTACTATAAGATACCAAATTATATCTGAGTAGAACTGTGTCTATTTTCATCAAGTCTGATTTACTACTGGCAAAATTGATGCATGAAAGGAATTATTATGAGATACGTGATCAAAAGAATTAACAGAATACATTTTAGTTCACATATTATTCCTTTACAAGCAAATATGCAAAAAGTTGATAATATACAGAATAAAACACTAATATAACATGCTGTATTATGTTACAGATAATATTTGAAGCAAATAACATCTGGAATGTTTTTAGAATCAGGAAGCTAATACTTAGTGACATTTTATTGATTTTGTTGGCACCAGGAACGACAGCAATTGAGTTTCAGAACTTTATCATTGTATTGTCTGACTGGGAACATTATCACTGTGTTGTCTGACTGTGGTCAACTTATGTAACTAAGAAGACACAGGAGTGTTTTTGTACTTTTCATCAGTTTTTAACAATACTGACCAGAGTACATGTTTATATTCTCTATCTCCCATGGAAACTGGAGGTTTTTGTGCCTACAGTTCAATATGACCAATTGGTTCCAAAAGATTGTGTTGGTGGGTTGCTGCTTTGCTCCACTATATACTGTACATGATACAGATTTCTACAAAATTTCATTTACCTGATAGTACTTAAAAACTACTCAACATTAATAATGTCAACAGGAAATCAACAGGAAATTCTTATACCATAAAACGAAGAAAAACCCCACCCGAAACCTTTCTGCTGCCTTTTCATTAAGTTTAGAAAGACTGCAGATGCTCTGAACCAGGTGTTTAGAGTTGATAATAAGCTGGAAGAAAGTCAGTAAGTAGAAGTTAACAAGAATGTAGGAATGTAAGAACTGTCAGATGATATTAAAAGTGAAGGCATAGCTCATTCTCATTGTTATCGACTAACAACTGTAGTTTTTCTTATTTATGGTTTATATATTTTATTTAACAGAATAACAGAGTTGGAAGGGACTCTTATTTATGTGCCATCCAACATCAAATTGAATGCAGCCAGCTAACACTGCAGCACATTTGTTGCCAAAATATAAAAGCATGGTCTGGATAGTTTAGCAACCGTTAATTGATCAAATCCCCTACATGTTTGTGTTACTACAAACTGTGTTATAAATAAAGCTATATACTTTTCATAGCGCATTTCTTTAAATCAATTTCAGCTGATACACCAAAGGTAGCCCTCTTGGGAGGTTTCCACACCATGGTAACACAGATACTGAACTAAAATGATTTGGTTTATTTGGGTCTACTTTAAGATGCTATTCAGTAATTAAAATTAATTCAGAGTGCAGCATCAATAATGTTATCTAATGTAACAAACATCTCACATCATAATAATGTATAATATTATTAGTATAATAATAATAACTTTATTATATTCAACTAGCTTCCAATTACTAATAAATAAATAGGCAGGCTCAGAACAAAGATTTTAGATCATGTTTAATGGCTCCATTTATATACCCTGGCGAGCTGGGTTGCAATCATAGTTTTCAAAGCCACCTTTACTACAGGTTTGGTTGGGAGTTTTTTACTGCTTGTTTTCACTAAAGCTCCAACGGGTTAAAACAGTTTTATTTTTTTCCATAGTTTTATTTTGGCATTGAACTATTTAGTGTTCATTTTGATTATATGATAAAGGTATCACAAATACAACTGTGAAGTGGATTAGAAATATTTAAAATCATTTCAGGACTTTTTCTTATTTTAAAAATATTGCAAAAAGTGATATCAATTCTTATGAATTTATATGTCTATTTAGAACAATCCATGAAAATAAACTATGTCACATGCATGCATGAAGTAAACTCTTACGATGCACGAATGCTTAGAGATTCACCATATGTAGTCTACACCACAGACTTAGCAAGGAATGTTTCCATAATATGGTAGAAAGCCATATTACTAATTCTTTGCTTATGAATATTTAATGTATTTTATTGGATCAAGTTATGTTAAGGTTTCTCATTTTTATATCTTACACAATGCCACCAGAACCCTTTGCCTCCTTAGCTTAAAATATTGAACTTATCTTAGAAGAAAAAATTACAGATTATGGCATTACTAGGAAACTAAGTCATGCAACAGGAAGATAATGTAGCCTCCAAGGTATTTGGAGGAGGGGGAGGGGGAAGAGAGAGAATGATTTGACTGAACATGCAAAGAATTTAAGATGGTATATCTGGATATAGAAAATAAAATAAGCACTATGTTAAATATTAAACAATTCCTTAATTATGGCAAAATATGTATATTTTCTATAGTCATTCAATAAATAACTATGATGAATTAATCAAAGTATTAATTTATATAGTATAAAACAGTAGTGAAATCCTCCGAGGTTTGCCACCGGTTCGCTGCGTGCGCATGTGCAGTGCGTGTCAAATGCACGCTATGCGCGCATGCACAGTGCATGCCAAACACACGCTGCGTGCACATGCACAATGCGTGCCAAACGCGCACTTCACATGGAAAAAGGAGTCTCAAGAAGGTAAGTAGAACAGCGAGGGGGGGGGAACAGCTGTGCCACGCGATTTAGATTTGCTAGAAAGGAGGATTTCCTGCTTTCTAGTGAATATAAATTGCCCGGCATAGCTGATCGTCGGAAATACTGGTTCGGATGAACCGGTAGCGGTTTTTTTTTTTTTTTTTTTACTACCGATTCACCTGAACCGGTAGCTTTTATTACTACCAATGTGCTGGAATTGGAGCAAACCTGTAGCATTTCACCCATTATACCCCTGGTATAAAAGATACAAATCATGATATTAAGCCTTCGGCTTCGCAATAAATTCTATATTCAATGACTGCACATACCCGCTTTAATCAAATCTTTTTCAACTACTCAGCACTTTATTGTGGCCTTCTTGCTGAGCACAAGGTCATCTATTGTAAAGGCATGATGGTGGAGTTCTTTTTGACATTTTAATTGTTCACTAAAAGAACAGATCTGAGATGTAAAGAAACCTTATATATGTATAATCTGATGCCAATCCTTCAGAAATGTAAAAACATTAAACAAAAATGCGAGCTGCACTGGTTGCCAGTATGCTTCTGGGTCCAATTCAAAGTATTGGTTTTGAGCTTTAAAGTCTATCATGCCATGGGGCTGGGTTATTTGAAGAACCATCTCTTTCTGATTTTATCTGCCCAACCCATCACGTCTGGCACAAGGTATGTTGCAGCTCCTGTATGGTAAAGAGCTACACCTGGTGGGACTCAGGAATCTGGCTTTTTCTATGATGGCATCCACCCTATGGATCATCAACACCACCTCCACCCTTCCGAAGTGAGGTTGGCCCCATCCCTGCTAACAGATTTGGTTGTGTCAGCAGGCCTGGAAGTCTCAAGGGAATAAGTTGATACCCTTTTTGCCTCTTAATCATAATATTGGTGTTTTTAATTATCAATTTATTTTTATATTGCTGCTTTATATTTTTTACTGTATGCCACCCAGAGTCATTTTCTGTGAAATGGACAGCCATTCAAATATGAAAAATAAATAATAACTCTCTCTCCCACATCACATAAATTATTTATGTTGGATAGATTCAATGCAATCTATAAGTAGAGCTTATCTGATAGGATGCCAAGTGAATCATTCCTAATGCCTTGAATGTTATAATCCTCTGAAAATCAAAGCACTTGAAAGGGAATACTTATTGATATATTGTTCTATAAAGACTCCAAGATTAGTGAGATTCTTTGACGTCTCTAAATATGACATTGTTCCTCATTATGACCAGCTGTAGTCCAGACACATCTGATATATTATTATTTCTACTAGAAAATTTCTACTTTTCAAATGCTATAATTCAATGTCTGTAACTATTTAAAATAGTATTTTTAAAATACAAAAGCACATACTTACGCTGGTCAAATAATTGTTTTAAAGCAATGGCTTCCAAGAAAAGAACAAAAAAGGATATAAAATCTCATCTTTCTAGTTCTTTTCTCTGAGAACCACTGGAGATCCATTACATTATAGAACGTATTCATGCACAGCACCATTGTAAGAGATTAACAATGCTTTGAGATGATACCCATATGTGCTGTCCGCAATTATGCCAAAGCAAGGCATAATGTTGAACAATAATGTTAGTCTAATCAGAGCTTAACATATAGATAAAATGGTCTAAAGAATGGCATACATAAAATTGGTCAGCTCTGTAGGAAATGCTAAGCCATTACAAATAATTCCCTTTACTCACCATTCATATATTTGAATATTAATATATAAAAAACTACATCACGAAAGTATATCAAGTAACTAAAATTTAAAAATCTGATTATTATAGCATTGCAACTTCATAGATAAAAGGATATTACACTGCCTGGAGGCAGCTGTATCATCAAAAATGTCAAATTCAGTATATTTTGCTCAAGCATGTGATCAGGCAATGAAACTTAAGTTGTGCAAATATGAGGATTTTTTTTAGTAATAAAATAAATTAAATACCCACCTAATTTTGCTTCAGAAGTATCCATCTCCCATTTGCTTTTCGGAATGTAACCCTAAATCATATACAGAGAGAAGCTCGAAGGATTAGAGAGATATACAGAAAGCATATAACACATTTTATCCTGCAACAGAATTATACTGCAAACATTTTCTTAAAATATTCAATCTGAACTATAAACTTGATTTGGAATTATAAAATGTTGCACTATGAAAAATATTCATAGTCACTCTGCATCCAGCACAAATGTGTCTCTCTCAATAAATTGTATCTTACAATAATTTAATGATAGGAATGTATCTCACAATAATAAGGTATGACATATTTTTCAGTGTGGCTTGTGTTGCATGATCAGAATTCATGTGCCTCAGGGATTTCCACATAGAATTTTATAATCTTCACAGGTCATCTTTGTATATGGAGACACAGTGTGGGATGAAGATTTCAGAAGCCCATTATATAAGTATGAATGTCTCTGGCAATTATTTGTTTTTTATTTCTAGGAAACAGTCTACAAATGTTTGCTTACAAAAGTATCCTAAAATTGCTTCTTTTTTTCATTAGTATGGGTTTCTGCATTTTAGTTCAGCCCTCAATATGTATTTTTTAAGAATCAGAAAAGAACTTAATCATAAAAAACACATCTTACTGATACAAGAATTGATTGAAAAAAAACCAGTTAAAACCAGTAGAAATGACAGAAAGCATTTATTCGTGGAAATCTCACGTCGTTAGTTATCAAAAGTAACTCGTTAACTTCATCAGAGTCTGATCCAGCAGCGTACATAATGGAGCAGGCAGGATATCATAAGCGACCACGTTTTCCCAAGATGAAATTTCACTCATCAGCTATTTAGAGATTAGATCCAGTTTCTGCTTTTCCTTCTGAACAGCTGATGGTATATTTCACCTTTTTTGTCCACTGAACTTTGGCCAATACAGCAAGGAAGCACGTGTGTTTGTGCAGGATTCCTCATCCAACCAGAGACATGTACTTGTTTCCTAGTTAAATTAGGGTGAAGGACTAATAGTAGAATTATAACCCAATACCTCAGTCATTGTTTAATACATTTTATTCAATACAACTGCTGGTTCAAATTAATTTAAAGTATAATGTGTATAAATAGAAATATTGTTGTTTGATAGACTTCCTGATTTAGAAATAGACTGTCAACTATTTGGAATGTAGACTGCAGCTCTTTGGCACTGCTTGATCTGAAACCACTTCCAACTGCAAGAAGTATGAATGCTTTTTAGCAGCTTAGACTTCAGCAACATGGTTTTCTGGAACTGTATGCTTATGTTCAATGAACTTCCATATTTCATTTCTTGAACAGGCTGCTCTTGAAAAATGTCTGGAAAGGCTGAGGAAAAAAGTTGCTGGCCCAGCAAATTGATTAATTTGCACTGGTTACTTATTGGTTTCTGCCTCAGATCCAAATGCTGATTCTTGCCGTCCTGTACACATGTCATCAGATCATGTTCTTTTTGCTCTTAGTGTCTGAAATTTGGCAGTTGTCTAAGAGAAGCGGCGGGATGTGTTTACTACAGGTAGCAGCAGTATAGAATATCAAAGTACTTAATTCTCAGATGCTAGTTAAAATCCTGGCACTTTAGGGTAGAATGATTGTATTGTCCATTTATTTTTTCTTCGTATGCATTATTCCATAGGAAATTATCATCCTGGTTTCTGACGATTTGACTGAAATTGCCATGTTACTATCATTTGTTCTATAATGTGATTTGGAGATGGGTGTTTATGCTGGTAACTGAGAAATTTAGTTATTTATATTTACATCATTTACTCCATGAAAAGCAATTATCTGAATTCAGTATTTTTTCTTTTTCATAAGAATACATTCATCTGGAAGAATAAACTCTGAATGAAAAATTCCATGTTGGAGATTTTTGAGGAAAGGACACAATGGAAAAAGAATACAGGAAAGTGTTTATTTTCCCCTTCTATAGTGCAATTACAGTTCTGCTTTTTCTTTGTATATTTGGTCTTCTTGATCATTTTTGTCTTCTAAAAAGAAAGAGTACAATTTGGAAGGAATAAAATCAGCACCTGCTCTCAAGCCTGCGGATATGTGATTCCAACATAAAAATGTTAAGAACTTGAAACAGAATGCGTAAGAATGAAAAGACTTGTATCACTCGTCCAATTAAAAGAAGCATTATTTAATTTAAAAAGCTCATGTTACTAATGTTTAAATTTTATTCACCTGAATGGTGATTATTATTAATCTTGAAGGTTTTAAGAGAATGTGATACGTTCATGGATGACAGGAATTCAAAGGCATATAGACATAGCTGTTGGCAGCCATTTCCAGCATCAGAGACTGCATTTTTTCTGACCAGTGACTGAAGCACAGCAGTGATCAAGGGCTATGTTCTGTGGGCTTTCCATAACATTTACTTGACTACTATAGGAACCAGGACACTGGCTTAAAGAAATTGGTGTGGTCCAGCAGTTTTTCAAGGATGTAGTCATAATTCTCATGAGGAAAATAAAGATTTACCACAAGAAAATCCAGACGGCTAAAGAGAAATTGCCTGTGAAGACAGGTATTTCTTCTGTCCATTCAGAATAAAGCGTTTCAAACTCCTTTCACAATAAAATTCCTGTCCATATTTTGGGAGCAGATAATCGGAATCCTGGAGAAAAGGTTTTAATTTCTAAAATCAAAACTTTTAGCAATCCATGAGGCTTTAAAAAGAAAAGAAAGTTACAAAGAGAAGAACTGATATCATAAAAGGATTGTGTTTTGGGAAATTTAGTGATAAAAGCTGAGACCCATGGGTCTCTTTCCATGTAACCAGAAAAGAATCTTATAACCAGTTTAGATTCTATTTCTAGTTCAAAAGGTAGAACAGCCAACTATTGGGTGTACAGCAACTGTAACTTTGGTTCAGAAATGGACAATCCTTTCAGGAATACACTAGTTCTACTACTAGCAATCTACTGTACGAATGATCTCCATCTTCTGCTTGGTTTAGAAAGTAATTATGGAGGAAAATCACCTTATAAAATTCATTTTCTAAGGACATTGGAACAGCAATAGAAGCTATATTTGATAACAAAGTCGCTATAAAATAATAAAAAAGGCTCCATTAATAGCAATGAAAACTCCAAAAAATTAAAATATGGAAGTAGGATAAGGATGAAGATCTCATAACGTTTTAACAGAAAACTATCTGAATAAGAAGTCACGAAACCTTATTTCCAGTTAGATTGATTTATTATTGTTCTTTGCATCGGGAAAAGGTTAATCCAAGCTTTCCTTCTTTAGCAAAGATGTAAGTGTAGGTATTTTGCAATCAAGCTTATTTTTCGGCCATCCGTTTAATAAGCTGAAGATATTTCAGGAGTAACTTAGACAGGCTGTCCTTCTGTTTTTCACTAGATCATCAAATAGTTCCCAAACACTTCAGAAATTCATTGATTCTGCTGGTAAACTTCCTCCACAAAAAATATTTTCAATAATTCTATACATATCTGGGTTTTTAATACCTGCTTATCTACTCTTTGTAGTGAATATTCATGCAAAAATGAATAGGAAATGCTATGTAATATGCCAGTGCTCCGAGAGAGACAACATGATACTAGATATGTGGAAAATCTACATGTTTTCTCAAATCAATCTGATGACAAGGAAATGTATAATTCTAAGCCTGGGTCCAGAGTAATTTACATGAAATTTTTTTTGATGTCCTTCCAAGGTAAACAGTAAACTTTGAATCTAGAACATTCAAAATCATGCATCTAGGTGTGTTGAGTTGGAATATATTACCTGAGTCTTTTGCATTTACCTCCATTTTCAAAATTTCAAGTTCCCTATCACTAAAAGGCTTATCTAATAAGCACCATCTTGGTGGAAAGATTTTGTAGTAGGATAAACAACAACATATAAGAACACATTAGCTTTTAACATGAAAGAACCTAAATAAAAAGAGGTGATTCAATAATGTGGAAACAGTATAAAATATAAATAAGCACGCTACAAAGAATTGGGCGTTCACTATGCATCTTTCATAGTTTAGTTGTTAAAATGGTGAAAGATTATGTTGGTGGTGTTCTGCAAAAATAATTACGAATACATTTTATTTGTAGAAAATATTTTAAATGTTGTATCTTTTCAAAAATTGTATTTCAAAATAAAAGCAAATCATAAAACCAAGTCAGTAGCAGGTTTCTGAAAAAGATTATGTCCAGCTATATTGTAAAGAAATAAGAATGTTGTGTTTCCTTGTGTATATGTATGAGAAGCACCTTGATAAATTAAACGTAAAAGATACATAGTTAACTTTTCTTTTTTTTCCTTTAGTAATTTTTTTCAGACTTTATTTTCTGAGAACAATCAATACATTGGATTATTTTTCTGCTGCTTTGAGATCAAATGTTATTAATCAGAAATTGATAACATTTGAGAAGTATTTTGTCATTTCCAGATAATGCTGCTCATGTGCCGAACAGCTTATTTCATGACAGTCAAATGAATTCTTTAGATGCAGGGGCGATTCACTCAAAGCTGTTATATTTGCATGTATATGTACATATGGATGCATACATATTGAAACACACAAATGAAGTAGTGAGAGGAGAGAAATTTATGTAGTCAACATGAAACAACAGAACCACTCCAGTTCTGATTGGTCACATCCTCACCAAATGGTATCAGTACAAGGAAGGCAACTGAAAACATCTATTTGGATTTCATAGTGTCTTGGATAAAAAATGTTTCATGTTGACAAGAGACAAAGAAACGTGTTTTCATAATAAGGATTCATCAATTATTTCTTGATGCCTTTGCATATACCATTCCTAATGAACCAACTAAGAATTCAGTTGGGTATCCTGGAAGGATCCAACTATTCCATTTCAGTCAATGTCAGACAGTATACTCTTTATTTTCCTGGAGAACTGTTTCAAAAAGTAAAATCTAGAAACATCAAACAAATATGTATGTGTGAATGGACAGGAGGAGGTGCTAAAATTTCCTTGAAAGTTCTTTTATCCAACAAATAAGCAATGGCATAAAAAAACCTTCTGAAACTTTTTGCTTGACTTGGTTGAAAGAGGGAGAATGAACCTACCTTATGGATTAGTAGCTAGTTCTCGAGCACAATCCAGTTGTACTCTATTGAAGGATAAACGTTGGTTGTGAACTCCCACATATGGCTGAAGAGCTGTAGTAAACCTACTCAAATAGCAATTATCCACTTTTTCAGACAGAAGGGCATCAATATTAATGACTGCCAATTTGTTGACCAAGTATGCTTGGATCTTCTAGCCTCCTTGAGGTTGTAAAAATTGCATATTGATCAGAATTTCCCTTCTTCCCCACCCTACAAGTATCTATTGAACTTTCTCTCTAGCAGTTGGCTGCTGTTGGATTTGGCTACAAGTTCTAGCCATATATTTTTTCAGTTTATCACAACAGCTAACATGAGCCATATAGAAAACTGTATTCAGATATACCTAAATACCCTTATTTACACCCTTCCAAGAAGCACTTGTGGCTTGTATCAGTGCAACTTTTTCACCTTCCTGAAAGCATTTATTGCAGCTTCTGACAAGATGAAACATGTTCCCCCAAAGTTGAAAAGGTGTAGCTTCAACAAAATAGAAGTGCTGTGAGTCACTTGGATTGTGGCAGCAGATAAATATAATAAATAAAATAAAAACTACATTTGTGTTCAAGCCAAAAAGGATGCCAGAAAGAGTAAAAGGATCAAATATAGTAATTTAGAATTGGTGGAGGTCCAGTATATCCCTTCCTATTTTACCTTGTAAATCCATGGTTTTAAGAGGAAAGAAAAACACAGATTTCTATCCCCTGATATGATATTTATGATTATAGTAAAGTCAGCTTTGCCTCTGTACTGGGTTGTCAGAGGAATACTGCCCTTCAGCCAGAAAGCTGAATTGAAACTGGAACTTTCAATTGATGGAATGAGCTCCGTTTTGTGCAGGATTGTGCACTGATCTAGATTCAAAAATGAAAAGGTGATTTGAAACATATGTGACCATGGACATTGCACATCCTTCAATCAAATACATATTTTGCTGGGATTGCATATGGCAGTCTTCAAGTCCAGGGCAGGTGCAGCAACTGACAGGTATAACACAAGCACCCACACAAGTCCTGAATTGCCCTTTTCTCTTTGAATGTGAATTGCTGCCCACCTTTAGAAAGAATTAATTACCCCTTTGCTCTTTTCATATGAATAAGCATTCTATGCAAATTCTTCAAAAGCTTAACATTGTGAGCACAAATTCCTCTGCATAAGTTTCACTGAACACAATGGGATTTATGTCTGAGCATACATATTTATGTTTATATGTGTAAGAGATATCCTGATACTTAGAAAAAGATTAGTTACATATACAGGTGAAACTTGAAAAATTAGAATATTGTGCAAAAGTTCATCATTTTGATGATTATGGCTTACAGCTCATGAAAACCCCAAATTTACAATCTCAGAAAATTAGAATATTACATGAAATCAATAAAACAAGGATTGTACATAGAACAATATCGGACCTCTGAAAAGTATAAGCATGCATATGTACTCAGCATTTGGTTTGGGCCCCTTTTGCATCAATTACTGCCTCAATGCGGCATGGAATGGATGCTATCAGCCTGTGGCACTGCTGAGGTGTTATGGAAGACCAGGATGCTTCAATAGCGGCCTTCAGCTCTTCTGCATTGTTCAGTCTCATGTCTCTCATCTTTCTCTTGGCAATGCCTCATAGATTCTCTATGGGGTTCAGGTCAGACAAGTTTGCTGGCCAATCAAGCACAGTAATCCCATTGTCATTGAACCAGGTTTTGGTACTTTTGGCAGTGTGGGCAACTGCCAAGTCCTGCTGGAAAATGAAGTCAGCATCCCCATAAAGCTCGTCTGCGGAAGGAAGCATGAAGTGCTCCAAAATCTCCTGGTAGACAGCTGCGTTGACCCTGGACTTAATGAAGCACAGTGGACCAATACCAGCAGATAACATGGCGTCCCAAATCAACACAGATTGTGGAAACTTCACACTGGACTTCAAGCATCTTGCAGTGTGTGCCTCTCCATTCTTCCTCCAGACTCTGGGTCCTTGGTTTCCAAATGAGATCCAAAAGTTGCTCTCATCAGAAAAGAGGACTTTGGACCATTGAGCAACAGACCAGTTCTTTTTGTCTTTAGCCCAGGTAAGACGCTTCTGACGTTGTTTGTTGTTCAGGAACGGCTTGACAAGAGGGATACTACATTTGAAGCCCATGTCCAGGATCGGACTGTGTGTGGTGGCTCTTGATGCACTGACTCCAGTCTCAGTCCACTCCTTGTGAAAGTCCCCAACACTTTTGAATGGCCTTTTCCTGACAATCCTCTCCAGGCTGCGGTCATCCCTGCTGCTTGTGCACCTTTTTCTTCCACACTTTTTCCTTCCACATAACTTTCTACTAATGTGCATTGATACAGCACTTTGGGAGCATCCAACTTCTTTTGCAATTACCTTTTGAGGCTTTCCCTCCTTATGGAGGGTGTCAATGATGGTTTTCTGCACAACTGTCAGGTCAGCAGTCTTTCCCATGATTGTGATTCCTACTGAACCAGACTGAGAGACCATTTAAAGGCTCAGGAACGCTTTGCAGGATGTTATGGCTTAATTAGCTGATTAGAGTGGGACACTTTGAGCCTTTTCACAATATTCTAATTTTCTGAGATTGTGAATTTGGGGTTTTCATGAGTTGTAAGCCATAATCATCAAAATTATGACAAATCAAGGCTTGAACTATCTCACTTTGCATGTAATGAGTCTATCTCATATATTAGTTTCACCTTTTAAGTTGCATTACTGAAATAAATGAACTTTTGCACGATATTCTAATTTTTCAAGTTTCACCTGTAATTCTTATGAAAATGGCTAATGAAACAAACTATTTAACTGCCTTTTATATTGGGTATTTAAACATGAATTTCTCAATTCCATCTGAAAATTGACTTCTCAGGCACTAACTTATAGCTTGTATAAGTTTGTAACGTCTATTAATAGAAGACAGAATATTGATCCCTAGTACTCAAGACTTACATTTTTCTAAGGAATTCTTAAATATTAATTTATATATTCAATTCAGTGCTCTTAAAATGACAGAATTAAAGCAGTGACTGGGAATGTGGTAGTGAGAAAGCAGACGGAATTCTAGCAAATATAAAATCTGCTATTGATTATAATAAAAAATTGTTGCAGGGGCATTTCCTACCAGTTCGCTCTCTTCTTCTTCTGCATCTTTTTTGTTTTCGTCTTTTTGGTCTTCAATATTTGCATCAAAGTCTTCCATCTCCACCTAATCAATATATAATAGCAGGATTGTATCACTGGAAATCTAGTTTGGTTTTAGCTACTTATGAGAGAATCAAATAAACTATAAATTTAAAATAACACACAAAAACTTTCTGAGAATTCACTTAAATAGTTAATAGTTTCAAATTTTACACTTTTTAAAAAGAGGATCAACATGAATAGAATTGTTAGGTTATATATGAGGTTACTGCAATCAGACTTCTGCTCAGGCACTAAGGTTACCTCCACAAAGGATATGTACTGTGAACATGAATGAATCACACTGTCAGTGAATAGATACTATTAGATGCTATTCACTGGTTAATGGCCAGTCTTATGCTTTGGTATAGCAATACTACTTATAAAGACCTCGCCAAAGGTAGAACTTCAGATACATTGCGTAGATTTAGCACTGAACTAATTTGTATTTTATAATGTTTATTCAGAAAATTTATTTTTGGATAGCATATTCTGCATGTATTTGCGCAAAAGAATGAAGTCTATGACTCATGGGAATTATGTCCCTTCAAAACTTCTAATTTGAGAAGCTTATCTTATTTAATAATAACTCAATCTATAATCACTGCATATTAAAATACAATTTCTACCTTTCTAAGTATAATTCATAGATTTTCTTTACCGATTTCCATAAATTAGTGTTTTTGCAAATCTCACCTCTTCAATAGCAGCATCTTGTAATAAGGAGCGAATGTCTAAACGTATCATGTGACGGGGTGCTGTCTCCCAATGATCAGCCATCTGAAAATGAAAAATAAAAACTACAATGTTTAGTCCTTGATTGGGAATATATGCTATCTGGGTATAAGTATAATTGATTAGTTTAATTAAGTACATGTAGTCCTCAACTTACAACAGTTCATTTAGTGACTGTTCAAAGTTACAGTGACACTGAAAAAAGTGACTTATGACCATTTCCCCCACTTATGACCGTTGTAGCATCCCCATAGGCTTGTGATTTACATTCAGATGCTTGGCAACTGACTCCCATTTATGACGGTTGCAGTGTCATGTGATCCCTTTTTGCGACCTACTGACAAGCAAAGTCAATGGGGGAGCCAGATTCACTTAACAACCATGTTACTAATTTAACAACTGCAGTGATTCACTTAACAAATGTGGCAAGAAAAGTCGTAAAATGGGACAAAACTCACTTAACGGATTTCTCACTTAGCAACATAAATTTTGGGCTCAATTGTGGTCATAAGTTGAGAACTACCTGTAAGAGAGAGATGTAGCCCTATGTTTTCAGATTAAAAATGCTGGTAAATTATAGCATAATGTGCGTTATATTATGTGCGTTGTATTATATTAATATTAATAAGTACTTCCAAATCAGATCTGGTCCAAATGATAGAAGAACAAAAGAAGGAAACTGAACAGAAAAACTGACTTCTAAAATAAATTCAATCATTTTAAAATTCTTAAACCCAGCTTGTTCCTCCATTTCCCCCAGTACAAGTAGTCCTGGATTTATGACAATTAATCCCAAAATTGATGTTGCTAAGTGAAATATTTGTTAAATGAATTTTGCCCCATTTTGACCTTTCTTGCTACAATTGTTAAGTGAATCACTATAGTTGTTAAGTTAGTAACATGGTTGTTAAGTGAAACCGGCTTCCCCATTGATTTTGCTTGTCAGAAAGTCGCAAAAGTTGATCACATGGCCCCCGGACATTGCAACCATCATAAATATGAACCAGTTGCAAAGTATTCAAACTTTGATCATGTGATCAAGGGGATGCTGCTAAGTGTGAAAAATGTCACTTTTTTCAGTGCCATTGTAACTTGAACGGTCACTAAATGGCTGTTGTACGTCAAGGACTACCTGTATACAAAATTTTTAATACTGTAATGTTGAGGAAATCTATTTACAATGTTACCTTATTGATTTCTTTGAGCTTGCGTCCATGGACGTTTCTCTTGCAACAAGTCTGATTATCTGCAGTTATTTCAGCTAAGTAAACCTAAGATATATGAAAAAGAGGGAATGTCTTTGAAAACATATATTCCATGGCAGAACTATCTTTCAATGTGTGTTTCATGAACTGAACAAATGTGGCCGATAAGATATAAAAAAGGTGCAGAAGCATAATCACTGTCTGGATCAAGTGATTGATTGTCTTATATTTGCTTAAAACATTTCTATAATTGTCCATCTTAAAGCCAAGTCTGCTTACAACCAATTGAAACTATATACAGCCATAGAAACAAACAAACAAACAAACAAACATCCCCAAATAAAATCTGAAACAGAAAAATCTGGTGCCCAAACCATACTTTCTTGGTGCAACCCACAGCATTCTCATCCTGCTTTGGCCTCACTCTAGCCCAGAGTCTGGGGAAAGAGCCAGATCTTAAGTATAAGGTTAAACAGGTTGGAGTCTGTTAAATCTCAAGAAGGATGGTATTCCACATTCTGCATCAGTGACTACGAGTAACGTCTCTTGGACCAGGAAAGGATGCGATTGGCATACAAGAGGAATGTATAAAAACACCTCCCTACCATCCTTAAGCAGTAGCCGTGAGTCTAGAAGGACCCCAAATTGTATACCAGCTCTGTCTTCAAAAGTTCCACCCTGTCCAGAATCACAGATGGGATATTAGCAGACCCTGGGGGATTCAAAGCCACTCTGTCTTGCCAGTTTTGAGTTGAAATTGGTTCCTCCCCATCCAGATTCTCACAGCTCAAGGCGCTTGGTCACAATCGCAACAGCCTCATCTGCCTGGCCAGAAGTGGAGATGTATAACTGATAACTTTAGTATACCGATACCAGACTCTATGTCAGCAAATGATCTCACCCGGTGGTTTCATGAAAAAGTTAAAGAGAGTCCTGAGCTCTGCCTGTATTGCAGGGGCCTAAAGTATGACCTTTCCTGCAGCACCAACACTGACTGGAACCAGACAGGGCAAAAGGGAAACCACTGTGAAACACTCTTGGCCCCTAACATCAGCTTAGAAAGATATCACAGTTGATAGAATCAAAAATTGCCGAAAGATCCAGAAGGGTCAAGAAAGTTGCACCATCCCGTCTCTAAACCCAGAGATCATCTGTAAACACACTCAGTGCTATTTCATTACTGTGCCCTAGCCTGAAAAGTGTTCAGATAATGCGTTACATCTAGGGCTGCCTGTAGATGAATACCAACCATCCCCTCAACAACCTTCCCTAAAAAAGGAAGATTAGAGACTATAGTACCTCCATTCAGTCAACTCTTTTTGCTAATGACTGTGCACTCCTGGTGTACAAGAATAGCGATCTACAGTTGATGCCGAACACATTTTCAGATGTTGCTATGCTCTTCGACCTATCAGCCTCAACGAGACTGAAATACTTTACCAGCCCATGCCAACTACCAAGCCCATTGAACCAAAAATCAGCTGAGTGTTACTGACACTCAGCTGATAAATGTAAACAGCTTCAAATTATTTGGGACGAATCATCTCTAGCAATGGATCTTTTGACAAAAAAATTAACTTCAAGATCAGCAAGGTCAGCCAGGCACTGGAGTGACTGCATACTAGAGTGCTCAATCAATACACATCCATATCTCCACAAAGCTGAAAGCTAACAGCTTATCCCTCCCCTCTTATATGGATATGAATCCTGGACTCCATACCGAAGGCACATTAAACTGGAGAAATTTCACATGGTACTCTCTGCTCCATCTTGGGAAGTGTTTGTCCAACCTGGAGATATTGGAGGTATTGGATCACACAGAATCCATCAGCATTAAGTCCATGATTATCAGAACCCAGATGAGATGGCTGGGACATGTCATCAGAATGGATAACCATTGTACCCCTTGCCAGTTGCTCTATAATTTATTGGACTCTGGGAAGAGACTTTGAGGTTGAACATGCAAACACTAGAAAGTTGCTATGAAAGAACTCCTACGCCACTGTGACATCCAGCCAAGGAAACTAGAAGCTGCAGCTGCTGACAGAACCTGCTAGAAAATCCTATGAAAATCCTAGACTCTGCACTTCCAGACTGGGACCCCAGAGCCACCTGTTTCCACAAATGAATAATATCTCAGCATGTCTCCTTCAAACCCACGCAATACCCCTAAATGTAACTTTTGTCCTACATCCTGTGCTGCTGTTCGAATGTTGAGCTCTTGCATGCCACTCAAAAGCCAGGTGTAGACTTTCACCCAAAGAACCGGAGTGCAGAGATTGGCAAAAGCTTGTCAAGGTTTCAAAAGCTTGTCAAGGTTTCAAACAGAAATTTATCCCAGAGATATAGAGGAATGAACCCAGACCCTTCTGCACACAAAACACAAATACTATTGGTAAGTTCTGTTTCTTCGTCAGTTCAACATTTACTGGATCTTTGATGTGCTATCTTACAATGACCTATACCTAAACCTGCTATTATTGCCTATCTTACAAAATATTAATGTTTATGATTCTAAGTCACTGGAAGTTTGTTTTAGAAAGGTTAATACCCACAGAAATGACCTAGGGATGCTTACCTCAAATCCTTTTGTTTTTGCAGAGCTCCAGAATTGCTCAAAATGCCGTACTCTGTCATTGATAGCATCAAGTATGATGAAGGGAAAAAATCCATCATCCAAAGTCTTCTTGAAAGTTTTAAACAAGCTGGCACGATAGATCTCTTCCATATCAGCTTCATATTCATATTCCAAAATCTGATCCAAAAAAAGGGGAATGTTAGGCAAAGAACCAAGCTTTTTTACTTGAAGAACTTAAATCTATCTATTACTGTCCTATGCTAAAAATGAATAACTGATAAAATTTATAAAAATGAAATGAAAAGGAATGAGGTAGTGCATGTTATTAGCATTCAATTATGAATATGGATAAACCCATGCAGCAGTTTTATACAGATTCCTGAACATCACAAGGTAAGATGGTCCCTTAGGAAGCCTTTGGCACAAATGCTGGGTAGGAGATGAATAACAATGACATTTGACATGTGTGGAAGTAGTGGGGCATAATTCACACAAATTTCCACTTCTTAAGATTATTTAGAAGGCTACTATGGTTCTTAGTACTGAAAGATGCTGGCCAATCAAGGAAAATTAATAGGCTTGTTCTATTTTTGCTTCCACAGAAAATTTCTCAGTATTCCAAGTCCATTCTGACAGTCAAACTTAAAAAGATCAGAAATGTCCACTAATGCCAGAAAATGTCATTATCACTTGCTCTAATACTTTGCCAAAAAATAAGAATCAATACTGCTGATAATTAGGAATGGGAGTTAGGATGGGAGCTGAAATTCAAAATCTGGAGAGTGTTGAATCTATTTCTGCTTTAACCAGGGTTGTTTTGGACATATTCCAACTTTTTAGTCCTGCAGAAAAAATGAGACATTATCTCAAATGCATCACTGCACTAAATCCATCATATTAAATAAGTATACTTATAGTGATATTCTACACAAGTTGAAATTGTCCATTGGCTTAGAACACAGTACAATAGTTCAAACAATACATAGATCCACATCTTATCAGGAAGTGAACAAAAACATATCCAACCATTTATCTCGCCACAAACACTGCAATTGATTTAATGACACAGTCTGGTCCAGGAGAACTGCTGTGCTATTAACCAGATAATTTAAAAAGAATCCAAGGCACTCAAAGTATCCTATCATTATATTTATGTTCCCTGGATTTACATTTTGCTTATTTAATCTTGACTGAACTGTCACTAATTCCAAACTGAAATTCCAGGTTCAGAAATTGATATTTCTGAACAATACAGAAATTTCAAATGATCCTTGTGGACCCTTCCAACTCCTCAATGCTTAAACCTGCTATATTTACTTTGTGGGATTTCAAAACAGAATTTTGCAGAATTTTAAAGTGCATTGAAAGTGTACAGGAATCTGCTTGCTGCATATTATTCTCTTCAGATTCATGGAGAGCAGCAGGGCCAGTTGAGACTACATCCCATCTCTCTTCTCACATCCTTTTAAATGAAGGAATAAGGCTTGATTCATGTGATGACCTGGAAATTGTCTTTCTTACAATAAGTGCTATCTTGTATTTCTGAGGCAAAAAGCTAATGTCCCATCAATAAAACACCTTTAATCAAATTAATCAAATACTTTTTTTACTTAGTAATCAGGGAACCATGAAGAATAGAAACTATTCTAACAGGAAAATTCTGCAAAGCCTTCTAAAATGCATTTGATTCTAAAGGAACCAATTCCTTAACCCAAAAATACAGATTAAATGGTACAGTAAGAGACAACATCAATTTAATGACACATAATCAAAGATCTGTTCAATTGAAAAAGTTGTCAACTCTGCACTCCCAGACCATAATCTATTTATTTTTCTAAAATACAGTGTAGATTAGGAGAGTTTCTTGGCTGTTGCCTGCCAGTTTTCATTTTTGTAGGCAATTAGTTACAATAATTTAATTAACAATTGGAATATACATTAAGAATACCTTCTTTTTTACTCTTTTCTTTGTGTCTGGATCCCTCTCTTCTTTTTCTATTTCAGTAATAAAATAGTCATCCAAGCTGAGTACTCTGGGTGCAGCTCCTCCACATTCAACTTCTTTATCCTAAGAAGAAAAAATAAAGAAAAATCCTGAAATCTATACCATCAAAGCTAAATTTTCATCCAATTTCTAAGAAAGCATTCTATTTCCATATATTCAGTTCAGATAACCCGGTTGTTATCTATGATAGGACAGGAAAAAAGTTACACAAAGTAATCTTAAATAATACGTAAGGTACAAAATCCAGAATGCCCATTAAAAAAACAACTTCCCTTTGTCCTGCGGGTGGATAAAGAAATGAAACTGTGACTGGCAGAAAAGAGATAAAACAAATGACTGGAACAATATGCAATTCAACTTTACTCTATTCTTCAGTACAGACTGAAGACAAAGAAAACAGTTATCCACTTACCCTGATGAGCTTAGCAACATGGGTCTTTCCACTGCCTGGCAATCCTCGCATGATTATGACAATCTAAAACAGAGACCACACACTTTAAATAATGCCATGCATATTAAGCTGAATAACGAGGATTCAGTAGACAAAGCACCATATTTTTCGGACTATAAGACGCACATTAGCTTTAGAGGAGGAAAACAAGGAAAAAAAATCTGTCTCTACCTCCGTAGCCCGTTTGTCATGGCCTGTTTGCCTCCGCAATGGCCCATTTGTTGCCGCTGACTGCTGAGAATAGCTGATCGACGCCGCACCCCTTCCCCCTGCCGCAAAAATTCGCTGTATAAGACGCACAGATATTTCCACCCACTTTTTTTTGGGGGGGGGGAGTGCATCTTATAGTCAGAAAAATACGGTAATATTTATGACTACAGAATGGCAAGCTATAGCTAAGTCCTCACTTAACTATGGTAAATGGGACAAGGAACTTTGTCACTAAGCAACACCATCGTAAAGTGTGGTGCCACTTAACTACACTGTCATAAAACGGCAGATGTGGCAGTCCCAGTTGCCATTGTTAAGTGAATCTTGTGAAGTTAGTGTCACACAGTCATGTAATTGCCAATTGCAACCACCTGCCGGCTTCCACATTGACTTTGCTTGTTGAAAGCTGGAAGTGCAAGTTATAAATGGTGATTACAAGACCACGGCATGGTGTAACCATAGTAATTGTGAACTGGTTGCCAAGCATCTGAATAACAATTATATGACCATGGCGATGCTGCGACAGCTGAAACAATGTTTGTTAAATCCTCCTCGTTCAATAACTTTGAACGGTTACTGAATAAGCTCAAAATCTCTGCAGATCCATAAATATTCACAAAATGAAAACCCCATGACAACATTATTTGTAGCAATAGTGGACTAGATTTCAGATTTGGCATGATATAATTCATTCACCACTCACACCTTCCTCCCACCAGAGTCCAGGATCAAAATAATACTGAAGGAAACCAGTTATGACCTCAATAATTCTGGATACTACGATAATACTATGTTGCAGTAATTAATAGTTTAAACAGAAAATGAGGAAATTATTTAGACAACTAGTTCAGAGTCAGATTAGAACAAGAAAAGATGTTACAGAATGGAAAAGGAAAGTATCTTTGGAAATCAACATAATGCTGGAATAACAAAACTATTGGCATAGTAGGAGTCCACATGCACAATCTGCTCTTTCTTCACATCAACCTTTTGCTCTAATTGTAATCCTCCCTGATAGCTAAGTATCAAGAGTCAATAATTTAATTCACAGAAAACCATCTGCTAAGAAAATTCTATGACAATAATTGTACACAGTGGTGGGTTTCATAATTTTTTACAACCGGTTCTGTGGGTGTGGCTTGGTGGGCGTGGCATGACTTGATCGGTGTGGCAGGGGAAGGATACTGTAAAACCTCCATTCCCTCCCCAATCCAGGGGAAGGTTACTGCAAAATCCCCATTTCCTCCCGATCAGCTGGGACTTGGGAGGCAGAGAATAGATGGGGACGGGGCCAGTCAGAATTTTTACTACCGGTTCTCCGAACTACTCAAAATTTCTGCTACCAGTTCTCCAGAACTGGTCAGAACCTGCTGAAACCCACCTTTGATTGTACAATCATAGACTTAGGCATGCAGCAAAGACTTTTGAAGGAAGCCATGAGTGCTTTAGAAAGCACTGCTTCAAAAATATTAACGGAAATATGAAATTCCTTATACATAATTGTTACCCATATTAGAAACTCGGAGACATAGTACTTACCCGTTCTGGTCTACTTTCTCGTCCAGGCTGCTTCAATATGTCATCTACATTTTTTGATTCTGGTTTTCTCTCTACCCGTGGGGCGGGTGGTGGTTGTCGTGGTATTGTTGGAGCAGAAATAGAAATTCTATCCTCAGCATAATTTCTTCGATCACCTTTCAATGAAATTTACATGAGAGAAGAGGGAAAGAAGTCAGACATAAATACAGGTTGTCTTTGACTTATGACCTCAATTGAGCCCAAAATTTGTTATTAAGTGAGACATTTATTAACTGAATTTAGTCCCATTTTGTTAAGTGAATCACTGCAGTCATTAAGTTAGTGACAAAGTTAAGTGAATTTGGCTTCCCCATAGACTTTGCATGTCAGAAGATTGCAAAAGGTGATTGATTACATGACTGTGGGACACTGCAACTGTTGTAAATATGAGCCAGTTGCCAAGTATCTGAATTTTGATCACATGACCATGGGGATACTGCAATGGTCATAAGTATGAAAAACAGTCATAAGTCACTTTTTTCAGTGCCACTATAACTTTGAACGGTCACTAAGCAATCTGATACTGTATAAGCAACCAGAAGACAGCACAATAAAACAAGAAAGAAAGAAAATCTTGACTTTCATATCCATATTGTATCTCTTTAAAATGTCATTTTAGCACCTTATGTTCATGCTCATTGTATGGTACAGTAGCTACCTATGATTAGAAGACTGATATATGAGCATATGAATGGCTTTCATTGGAAAATGGAGAAATTTTGCTATGGGGCATTTCACCACTACTTCTTTAACACAATATCCATTTCTGCCTGCACAGGCTAAATCATTAATTTATCATGAACGGTCTATGTCAGTAATTCTCAAGTTATGGTCGCCAAAATACTATAGATCCGTGATGGTGAACCTATGGCACGTGTGCCCAAAGTGGCACGCAAAGCCATGTCGCCCAGCATGTGCGGCCTTGCCTGTTTGTTTTCTGGGTTTCTGGTGCGCATGACGATCAGCTGTCCTTTGCGCACACGGCAGTGCCGAAAACCGGTGTGCACATGCGCACCGGCCAGTTGTCGGGTGTGCATGCATGCCAGAACCTATAAGTTTGGCTTTTCCAGAGTGTGAGTTCTTCGTATGCGCAGCCAGCTGATGCGTCAGCACGCATGTGTGCTAGAATCCAGAAGTTTGGCTTTTCTAGAGTGCGGCCCTGACAAGCGCGCGTATGTACATGCAATGTTTCTGCATGACCTTTTCAGCACCCAATGCCGAAAAGGTTCACCATCACTGCTATAGATTGTCTAGATTTCAGGTATAAAAATGAAAATAAATGTATATATATAATGGATCAGTTAATGCAAGATTGTGAAATTCTGTGTTTTTTTGCCTTCTCATGATAGTTGTCATTTTTAATGTTATAAAAAATAATTCATTAACTCTGCAAATTCTGTAACGATTAATAGGGGAGGGGATCATCTGTGCCATAAGGAACACAGGCATTGTATTGATGACCAGTGTCTTCCATAAAAAGCCACTGAAGTTTTCAACGATTACTGAGTAGTCAATATATAGAATAAGCCTGCCTGACCTGCTAGTCTATTTATAAAGGTCCTATCACTGCCTATTGGTGTTCCTGTTTGTGCCTAATTCTAAACAAGCCATAGACAGAGCTATGCAAGTTTGTTTGCAGTCTCAACAGTAGTAAAACTGAGCAATGTGCATGAACCTTTTGCTTATTCACAAGTTAAGTCAGAATTCTATGTTACTGCCTTACTATAATATCTAAATGTATGTCCGTCCGTCCGTCCATCCATCCATCCAATATAACTGCCCAACCCACCAGAAGTGAGTTTGGGCAATGTACAACCATCATAGTCACAATATTAAAAAATCATTATAAAGCACTCATAATAAAAATATAAGCACCTATTACTATTTTTTTAAAAAAAAAATCAGTAAAAATTAATATATACAAACAACAAATGGAAAGAAAGGTATCACCTATAAAATGTCTCTGGGATCTCAAAGCCTGGTTACGTAACCAGGTCTTGAGGGACTTCCTGAACCTTAACAGAGCTAGAGCTAACTTACCTTCGGGGGAAGGAGGAAAAGAGAATGTTCCATAGGACAGGTGCCACAATAAAGAAGGCCTGTTTCCTGGGACTTGTCAAATGTAGGTCCCTTGAAAATGGAACCCATAGCAGACCTAATGGGTCAAGCTGATGTAAGGAGAGAGGAAATCCCTCAGATAACCCAGTCCACGAAAACTTAAAAGGTCAAAACCAGCACCTTGAATTGGATCTAAAAGCAAACAGGCAGCTTGCGGAGCAGAGGTGTGATGTGTATGGATCCAAGGGCAGACATAGTTGCCCATTTCACTGCATTCTGCACCATTGCAGATGGTGGAGTTGGAGTTGGAGTTTCAGATACTCTTCAATTATATCATAGTGGTGCATATAATTTATATCAATATCCTTACAATTACTTTTTAATTAGAAAATTAAATAGACGTTGAAATCTCAATTTAACAGACTTCATTTCACAAATAAAGGCAAATATATGTGTCCCAGGATAATATAGCAGGATCCAATCTGGGTCAGTCACCAGGACCAGAGGGTTAGTCTTCCGAGCTTTCGGACTCATGCTGGAACCCATCTTCAGGGAACTTCTCTCTAGCAGTGTCATTTACTGACTTCATAAACAAGGAATCATACTTCTGTCTAGATACTGTCTTCCCAATAATAAATATGTTCAATAATTGTACGTCAATTTTTGCAAATGATGTAATATGCAATTTAACAGACATTTGTGAGTAATGGATATCCCTCCCTTCCAATTGGCCTTTTCAATTGTATTTGTTAAGCAACATCAATCAAATTTACATTTCTGGCCTCATTCTAACTCACTAATTTTCTATTCCAATTCTCAATGATTTTAGAATTATACCTCCAAACATGGAATGCCCATGATCATAAGGAGGACGATCAGGCTTCCGCTCATATGACTGTCTTTCAAATCCTCCTCTTCTTGAGACTGAATGATCTTTGTCACGGTAAGACTGATTTCTTGAAGGAGATGGCCTGTCAAATGGAGAAAGCACTCATGTGGATTTATTTATTTACTTAAAAGATTGCTCATTAAATGTGCCAACACAGAGTGGCTCACAAAACAGCATCCATCCATCCATCCATTGCAGAACAGGATTTTATTCTTAATTATAACATGATTTAATTTAATTTATACAGACTGACCATATAAAGGGCACATCAATAACCATTATGAAGGCACATTTTCTTGTTTAGGTATTTCTGTTTTTCATACCTGTCTTCTCGTGAGTATCGTTCTTTGTCAAATCGTTCCCGATCATGATCTCCAGAAATCCGTTCTCTGTACGATTCTCGTTCCCTCCTGAAATCCCTGTGGTCTGGATTGGAATTATTTTGTCGTTCAAAATAACTCTCTCTCTCCTTGGTGTATCGATCACGCTGGCCTAAGTGTTCTGGAAAAAAGAAGTCAAAATAATTGTTAGGCCTCATAATAAATAAATTTTTGAGCTGAACCAGATCGCAAGTAAAAGGATCACATCAGGAAAAGGTGAACCCGCTACAGGTAGTTCTCAAAATACAACCACAACCCAACATTTCTGTTGCTAAGTGAGACATTTGATAAGTGAATTTTGCCCCATTTTATGACCTTTCCTGCCACGGTTGTTAAATGAATCACTGCAGTTAATTTAGTAACATGGTCATTAAGTAAATGTGGCTTTTCCCCATTGACTTTGCTTGTCAAAAGGTTGCAAAAAGTGCTCATGACCCAGGACACTGCAACCGTCATAAATGTGAATCAGTTGCCAAGCATCTGAATTTTGATCATGTGACCATGGGGATGCTACAATGACAGTAAGTGTGAAAAACGGGCATAAGTTACTTTTTTCAGTGCCATTGTAACTTCAAATTGTTGTAAGTTGAGGATTACCTTATTTCCTTTCATGTGATAATTTTATATATAAACTTATTCTGCACACTATATTTAAAATATTCCAAAGCATTTAAGTTATTGTATCACAAATAGAAAAATGCAATTCATCTTAAAAAGAAAGCTATTAAATAACAAACAAATTTCTTTTTTCTCAAAGAAATATTTCTGTGACAACAAAAATAAACCCACCTTTTGAAAAGGGTTGCCTTTCATGAGGTTCTGGATGCAGAGTTATTCGCTCCCCGTAAGGAACTTGTTGTCCGCTTTTACTGATAGTTAAATCTGTTAAACACAAATTGATAGTAATTAAAGACCCTGACAGTTTTAAGATACTAAACTTTCATCCCATTCCTAATTTGGCTTTGATGAACTGTGTATGATCAACATACTGATAGCTCACTTCAAACTGGTGGATTTTCCCAGTGGCTTCATGTAAATATTAAACAGAGTAGAGGGTTATTAAACAGGGTTGAATATTGTGGCATAATGGAACTAATGCAACTGCTTGCTCACATAGGAGCACATTCACTATATAGTGACTCTGATCTCCAGCTCTCACAGGCAATCAGGAAAGATTCACTGGTCAATAATATCAAAGGCCACTAAGAGATTTAGGAGAACAAGCACAGACATATTCTCTTCTTTCAAATCCCAGTACAGGTCATTTATGAGGAAGACCTATGTGATTTTAGTCCCCTAGTCAGGCCTGAGCCCTGACTGCCAGAAGTCTAAATCTGCTTCTTCCAGTGTATTTGTAGTTGTTATTCCATAACCTCTTCTACAACTCCCCCCCTCCCCCCCAATCCAAAGGTAAGACTGGGAATACTGTCCAACACTAAGAGAACCAGGACAGGCTTCTTTAGAAAACTCCCTAATGTTTTATTAAGCAGCAATCAGAACATTAGCAGCATTCACCTTGACCATGGCTGTGTCCGTGTCCATGTCCATGTCCATAGTCAACAGTCTGCTGAATAATTGGTGGCTTGGCATGGGGTGCCGTAGTAGGCAAAAGGGGTGCCGTAGTATACAAAAGGGATGCCGTAGTAGGCAAAGGGGGTGCTGTAGTATACAAAAGGGATGCCGTAGTAGGCAAAAGGGGTGCCGTAGTAGGCAAAAGGGGTGCCGTAGTAGGCAAAGGGGGTGCCATAGTAGGCAAAGGGGGTGCTGTAGTAGGCAAAAGGGGTGCTGAGATTGTTGATGAAGGCAATGAAGAATCCGATTTAGGTAAGTCATATTCTGATTTCAACCCTTTATCGTCATTAGTGTCCCAAAGTCCCTGGAAAGTGTCCTCATCCCAACGTTCTTGGGTCGAATAAGTTGATATGTTTTCCACGGGAACTGAAACCTGAGTTGCTGCTACAGTTGAAATGGAAACTGGAATATTTGACTGTAATGGTACAGCAGGTGGCTTTCCTTTTGGGACAGGAACCTTTCCAGCTGAAACAGAAGGTCTTATCACTGGAGATGATTTTACAGGAGGTGGCTGAGTGGTTGGAGGAGGTTTCCGAAACAAGACAGGGGGCTTTATAATTACAGCTGGAGTAGGCTTAATAGCTTGTTTCTCTGCTGTCCTTTTACCTTGCATTTCAGAAGAGGCCTAGATAATGGGAAAAATGAAAATAAATTTGTAAAATAATTGTTATATCAACTTTATCAGCCATGATTTTTTTTTTGTTTGCATACCATAAGAAACCACAGTGAACCATGGGATTCCATGCTTCTCTTTTTCTCTCCAATAGAACCAGGTTGGAAGCTTTCACCTTTAATCTAATCATGGACTGTTGGGATTCATTGACCAAAACTAAGAGGAAATTGATTTTGATTGATTGATTGGCTGACTGATATTGGTTATTTTAAAAACTTGATCTGAAACTGTTTTTTTAAAGTTAATGTTTTTACTTAATCATAGGCTCAAATCCAGATATTCAATAAACAACCAAATCAATTTGGTCAAATTTCTAAGCCTGGAAGAAGAGAGATGCTGGAAGAAGAGAGATGGCAATGCACGACTTCAGTATTCATTGTAATTGTTCCTATTTATGCAATCTCACTAGGCTAAATGATGGCTGCTAGCATGATAAACTATACTGCTCAAAAAAATAAAGGGAACACAAGCAAAAGACATCCGAGATCTGAATGAATGAAATAGCCTTATTAAATACTTTGTTCTTTACATACAGTTGTTTATACACTGCTCAAATAACTAAAGGGAACACAAAACTACTGTATGTAACGAACAAAGTATTTAATAAGGCTATTTCATTAATTCAGATCTCGGATGTCTTCTGCTTGTGTTCCCTTTATTTTTTTTGAGCAGTGTATTTTCCTTCATTCCCAGTCACGATAACTATAATTTTGGAGAAGGCTACATGAAGCTATTGCTAAGCATGATGTGACATATATAGGGAATCAATGTTATACAATTATATGCCTTGATCCTTTTCTAAAATGTGTACTTTTTGTAGAAGTTCAGTGTTAAAAATGGTACAAAACAAGCATACAAATGCTTGTTTGGGAGCCAATTTGGTCTAATGGTTAAGGCACTAAACTAAAAACCAGGAAACTATGAGTTCTAGTCCTACCTTAGTCATCTAAATCAGCTGAATGATCTTGGGTCAATTACGCTCTCTCAGTCCAACTTACTTGTTGTGGGATAAGGAGGAAGAGGAAGAAGTGTTAGGTGTGTTCACCTTGAGTTATTTATAAAACTGATAAGGCAGAATAAATAAATAAATAAATGTTAATATGATTTTGAGTTAGCCTTATGTTTTGTATGTGATTTTTATATTTAATAGATGTTTTGTGTTTTTAATACTATGACAGCCATAGAGAGTTGTAATTTGTAATTTGGGTGGCTATATACATATGTATATATACATAAAACCTCTTTATTAGCAACAGGAGTCACATAGTAATCTTCCTATGTCTCAGCATTATGGTCAAGGGTTTTATTGCAATTAGGTTCAGATAAACCATCTATGTGGTAAAAAACAAAACCAATTGTTTGTTTCTGCCTATCAGCTCTATAACTACAAAGGATATTAGGGTCAAGATTAATTGTAACCTTGCTTATACAAACCAATGCTATGAACTCTGAATCATGATTTCTTCTTTCCCATATAAAGATATATAAAAATAAATTCACAATTCTCTGGAGTATCAAGCACTTAAAAAAACCACATACAACATGTGCCACCGTATGTTTTGCTTTATTGCTCTAACCTAAATTATGGTATTCTCCAATAATCTCTCATCTATGCTTGACCCTACTTTCTTTCCAAGTCCAGACAAAATCAACTTGGTTCTGCCATCTACTAAAGACTTTTTCAAGAAATACCACGCCAAATACTCTGTTACTATCTTTTAGAAAGCAGATAGCATCATTCTGAACTTTGTAAGAATAAAACACATACTAATTTCTGTTTCTGGTACTTTACAACATACCTATGTCATTTTCATTATATATTTTGTTGACTATCATTTATCCTACTTTGTGTTTCTTTTTCAAATGAAAAGGAAATACATTTTATACTTTTTAGGGAAATGAAAAAGGAACAAAATGTTACATGGCATTTCCTGCTTTGTAATTAAAGATTATTATTGTAATAATAATGAATTCTGACTTTGGATACAGAAAAACATGAAAACATGGTGAGGTCCACTGACTCTCTGATTGCCATATCTTCAAAACTTATTCTCAGTGGACAGATGTTCCAGTAGAATAATTTATAATAGCATTACGACAACATTCGAGCATTTGCTTTTATACAAATGCTATATTGAATATAATTTTTTTAAAAAAATCTGGAAATAAAATTTAAGACAAAATTCTACCAGAAAATGAAACACACCCTTGTTTATGAATCAAGATTTGAAATTTTCCTTTAGTATATCCACCTGCTAAAAACTGCTAAGCAACTGCTAAGAAACAATAAGAAATTGTTTCAGTCAAATATGTAAGGTCATTCATGTTTCATGCTTTGTGTTGATTTGTTTTTAAACGCCCTCTTCATTTAGCAACTACCTTGGTTAGCGACCATTTGCATATATGACAGTAATAAAACACTATTTTCCAACCAATGCACACATGTATGACCAAATTTTGCACTCTTGAGAACAAATGCTGACAACAGATGGAATATTGCTTGGATAGTTGTATGAGAGAACTTAATCTGAATAAAATAGTAACATCCAGTGGTCCTTGTGGCATGTCTCTCTTACATATTCTGTTAGCAACCATTCTGCTTAATGATCTGGTTGTCAGAATGGAACTTGGTTGCTAAATGAGGAGTGGATGTATGCACTTGTATTTTTCTATATTTTATTATGTATTTTTCTATTTTTTAGGACATTTTACAAATTATCCTGAGGATTTTTTTATAGGAAAACCAGACTATAAGTGCTTTTTAAAACATACCATCTATCTGAAAGCCATTTATAAGCAATATTTTAATTTACCTGAAATTTATCTTTCCTAGCAGGTGTACTTTGTAACCTAGACATTTCTTGTGGTGGGGGTTCAGACATTTGAACGTCAGGAACAAATTCCTTCATCTTCTTCATATGTTCTTTTTGTTCCCTAAAATCACAGAAGTATATTGTTTGTCTTAGATAGCCTTTTTAAGGATATAAACATAAACATGCATAGTTATTTTCAAAGGCATTATAAACGAAATGCGTTATTATTATTAGTATGGGAGAAGAGTAGAGAAAAACATTATCTGAAAATACCAACATGGTTTCAATAATGGAAGCATTAGTACATCCAAATATTATTAATATGGGAAACATTATAAGATATAAAGATATTTTATCAGCAACAGGGGAATTGAAAACGAAACAAGAACTAGATGAACAAGGAATTGAAATGGAGTAGTATACTCAGCTGCAAATACAATCGAAATATGAAAAAGATGCAAAGCTATACGGTTTTTGGAAATTACAGAATTGGATGAGATATTCACAGGAACAGATGAGAAAATGATTAGGAAATTATATAGTTATTTACTTGAAGTAAAGTTGGAAAAAGAACAAGTTAAAGAAACAATGATAGCACGGGCAAAAAATTTTGGTTATACAATTGAGTTAGATAAATGGCAGCAATTATGGGAAAGAAATTATAAATTAACAATGGCCACAGCATATAAAGAGAACTTGTACAAAATCTTCTGTAGATGGCACATGTCACCAGAAAGATTGTTAAAAATGTTTAAAGATAAATCAGCTAAATGTTGGAAATGCCATCAGATACCGGGATCATATTATCATATGTGGTGGACATGTCCAGAACCGAGAAATTATTGGGCAAAAATTAGAATATGGTTAGAAAAAATGATAAAGTAACATTGATTTAAAACCACAACTATTCCTGTTGGGTATCCTATCAGAGAAGTATAGTAAAGAAAATATATATATTTGATAATACATGTAATAATGGCAGCAAGAATAGTATTTGCACAAAATTGGAAAGCAGAAAAAATTCCTACAAAGGGAGAGGTAATTAAGAAAATATTGAAATTTACAGAAATGAATAGATTGACATTGGCAATTAAAGGGAAAGAAGAGTCTTACAATATATGTATTGTAATATATGTATATGTATGTATTACAATATATGGGGGAAATTTTATCAATGGATAGAAAGTGAGTATAGATAATAAATACTCTAAAAGTAAGAATTTTGGGAAGAATATGTTATAGTACATTAAAATTAAATGAATGAGGAAAGATAAATGTACGCATTACGAAAATGATGATAAATGTTGAAGATGATGGCACAAATATGTTGTATCCAGATATACATGGATTAATGATGTACAGAAATGATAGAAGAGATGTAATTATAAATCAAAAAAGAATTTGAAATGAAGATGTATGTAAATAGAAAATCGGGGCTGCTCGAATACCATTTTAGATTGAATTGAAAATGGAAACAACAAAGGAGTGGAAAAGGAGAGAGGAGTAGAGAGAGGAAAGGAGGGGAGTAGGGAGGTAAGGAGAGAGATGGATAGAAGAAAGGGAAAAGGAGAGGAAGAAAAGGGAGGGAAAAGAAGAGTAGGGGAGAGGGTTAGAAAGGGAGGAAGAAGAAGAGAGGAATGGAGAAAGGGGAGAGGAAGTAGAAAAGAGAAGGAGAGGAGGAATGAGGAAAGTAGAAAGAGATAGAAGAAGGAAGAGAAGGGAAGAGGAAAGGTTGTGGTAAAATAAAGGAGAGGAAATGGTAAAAGAGCAGTCCCGAACAATTAACAAATGAAAGTAAAAGGATAAGATGAATGATTAATGATGAATAAGAGACTGTATATTTAAATATGTTGATGAAAAATAAAAATAAAAATAAAAAACTTTTTTTAAAAAAGGATATAAACATATACATTTTTAGTTGTGGCATGAACACTGTGGAATGCTGCCTCCAGAAGACCTCCCTACTTCAGATTTATGGCCCTACCAGGCCATAAGTTAAAAAGAGCAGTTGCTAAAAAGTAAGCCGGGAATCTTTAAATGTGACTCCCTTGCCTCCATAACAGCTCTAAAAATATATTATACCATCTATTCAAGAATAGGATAGGAAGATGTATTGACATACTTACTGTTTCTCCCCCAAAATAAGACTGGGTCTTATTTTCTTTTGACCCCCGAAATATGGCTTTGGCCTTATTATTGGGGGTCTTACTATTTCTGAGGTGCAGGACCTCAAAACCTCGGCTCCCGGCAGGGGGACTGGTGCCGGAGCGCCGACCAGCTGCTCTGCCTCGATCGCCTTCCTCTTGAAGAGCCTGCAGGGCAAACAAGAGATCTGGGGTTTGGGCGAGCGGCAGAATTCTCACTTCTCCGCCGCCCCACCCCTCCCCACCTGCCACTCCCCCTCGCTGGTCGAGATTGGCAAGCCAGATTCGGGGAGCTGAACGCACTGCCGCCATCTGGGAGAAGAAGAACATGAGAAATGGGCGCTCTCACAGCGCCTCCTCTCTCTCTTCTTTTCCTGAGTGGCAGCGGTGTGTCCGACTCACCGAATCTGGCATGCTGATCTTGGGCGGCAGCGGCTCTGATGTTCCCCCTCCCTTCCCCCCTCTCCGGCCTCGCTATCTCAGATGTGTTATTTGCGTGGCAGCTGCCCATGAGTCTAAGTATTTGGGGGGGCTTATTTTCAAAGGAGGGGCTTATTTTAGCGCATGTACTCGAAAGCTCAATTGGGTTTATTATCCGGACATGTCCTAGTTTCGGGAAAACATGGTATATAATTACACACTTAAGCAGGAGTAGTTTAAAATTAAGCAAAGCAAAAGAAGACTTCTAATAGACTGTTTATTTACTGCATAAACCTTTTAAGATACTGGATCTAAAGATATAATTCACAGGTGTGAGATAAAACTCTCTTGGAAGAACTATTAATTGGTAGCCTTCCTCAGAATTATCTCAGCTTACTTTTCAAATGTTTTTATGGAGTTTGTTGATGGAACTGCATTCTTAAAGAAAACCTATATGAATGATTCTGTAAACTTTCCAGATCTTTTTTCCCCTTATGCCCTTCACTTTGAGAATACAAGATAAGATTCTTTCTTCATATCACAATTTTAAAAATATCACTACCAGACTATGTTATCTGAACTCTTTTGTCATACACTTCTTCTGTTTATATATTTAATGGAGGGTACAAATTAAAACAAAGATTAACTCCTTTATCTTAAGAGAGATAGTATACTATTTTAAGTGGTTATTCCAATGGATTCAACAGCAAGCTCAACTTGTATAAAATGCCCTTTCATTTAAAGTGATTAAAAGATGTATTGCTGATGCCTGACTATATTTTTAAAGCACTTTGTAAGGATAATTTATACAAACAGAAGACTGAGGAAAATATAATTATTCTAAAATAAGACAAGAAAAAAAATCAACTCACCGTATCATCTTTAGTTCTTGGGCAGCCTTCAAGATTATTTCATGTTGCCTTTGACTAAGAACCATTACTCCTCCTAATGACGGATCAGAAGCTAAATTTGGCTCCTCTTCCAACAATTCAGATGAGTGTGGTAGCATGGGTGGTAGATCCAGACGATTGTCTAAAGATGTAAATCTATCCATTTCATCAGGATACCACCTCTCTGAAAACCTTTCTCTTTCCCAATCTCCTGTGTCAGGAGGGAAATCAGTCTGTTCTCTCCATGTATCATGTCTTTCTGGATATTCACGAATTCTAATCTCGCCTCTGTCTCTAGAATCTCTGTTGTAGAAATCTCTGTCTCTCTCTTCTAACCATCTGTCCTCATGATATCTATCTATTGGAGGAAGTGGAGGCAGAGGTGGCAAAGGAGGTAGAGGCGGTATGTCCATATCACAATTCAATGTATCTCTGTCCCCCGATGATCTGATATAATCCATGTCCCAGTCTCTTTCCAATTCACAATCATACACATCCAAGGGTATTCTGATACTGCCAAGATCTATGTCTTCCACTCTGTCTCTACTCAATGGTCTTTCCCAATCATCCCAAAATGATTCCTGATCCACCAAAGGAGGTAAAGGAGGAAGAGGGGGAAGTGGTGAAAGAGGGGGTAAGGGATGATGTTGTAGTACCCCATCATCTATCTCATATGGATCAAGAGAATCATCAAACCTCTGGTCTTGATCGTGCCAATATCTATCTCTTTCCCAATCATCTAATTGTCTGTATTCTAAAGGAGGAATATCTCTGTAGTCAAATGAATGACCCTCTTCTCTGCTTTGCTCTTCATAACTCCATGGAGCCCTTGGTGGTTCTTCGCAAAATGGTGGTAAATTTTCAACATTTCCTCCAAGTCCTGTATCATGTCTATGTAGATCTTGCTCCCGATTGCTTCTAATGGGTTCTCTTTCCTGACCAATACCTTGTCTATCTGTGTCCCTCTCTCTAGGTTGTCGACCCAGGGCTCTCTCCCTACTTCCAATTTGCCAGTCCAGTCCTCTCTCCTGACTGCTGGGAGGCCTGATTGTACCACTTTCCTGGCTAGTTGTTTGGATTCTTTCCCTGCTGCCCATCCGAGGAGCTGGTAATCCTTTTCCTGGCTATTTGTTTGGATTCTGTCCCTGCTGGCCATCCGAGGAGCTGATAATCCTCGTTCCTGGCTATTTGTTTGGATTATTTCCCTGCTGCCCATCCGAGGAGCTGGTAATCCTCTTTCCTGGCTATTTGTTTGGATTCTTTCCCTGCTGCCCATCCGAGGAGCTGGTAATCCTCTTTCCTGGCTATTTGTTTGGATTATTTCCCTGCTGCCCATCCGAGGAGCTGGTAATCCTCTTTCCTGGCTATTTGTTTGGATTCTGTCCCTGCTGCCAATCCGAGGAGCTGGTAATCCTCTTTCCTGGTTATCTGTTTGGATTCTGTCCCTGCTGCCAATCCGAGGAGCTGGGTAATCCTCTTTCCTGGCTATTTGTTTGGATTCTTTCCCTGCTGCCCGTCTGAGGAGCTGGTAATCCTCTTTCCTGGCTGTTTGATTGCTTGTCCTGTACTCTTTCCTGGTTAGTTCCCTGTCTGTCTATCACAGAATCCCACTTGCTTACCCGACCTGGACGTCTGCATTGGGTTCTTAGCCCGCTGCTTATCTCTCTACCAACAACATCCCTTGATTGATCTCTCCCTCTATTTGCTATTTCCTTTCCTCTCATATCTTCTGATTGGCTCCGTCCTCTGCCTCTAGTATCTTCCATTCTATATTGGCCTTTGCCAGCTGGCCCTTTTCCCTGGTTATCCCTTGGCTTCATTTGTCCCTTCTCCCTGTTTTCTAGTTTAGATGATTCCTTATTCTGATTATTGTCTGGAGAAACCAGTTTATTTTCTGTAGATTTCATATCTTTATTTCCTATGATAGGTGATGACAGTAATGTTTTCTTCCCTCCTGGTGTTTGAGAAATATTGGAAAGTGGTATCTGATGCAGACTTGTGGAAGTGCAAGAAGTTTTGGATGCTTCTGTGTGTAATCTGGAATCCATGGCACTTGGTTTCTTTATTTCTGACATTGTTTTTATGGCCTCCTTCCTGGATTTATTTTGCTGTATATTAGGCAGTCCCTTATCTGGCTGAACTGGGCCAGAAACGTTTACATCAGACATAAATTTAGATTTATTGACAGTATCAGTAAGTAGTTCTTTATTTTCTACTTGATTGTTCTGTTGTCCCAGAGGAGGTCTAGGTCCCCCCCACCATGGCCCACTTGCTTGAGAAGACTGCATCTGTGATGCTACCGAAGAAGTGTAAAAGGCTGCTGCTGGCCCCCGAGGGATTGTCCCCTGTTTTCCTGAAGATCCATCTATGTGCTGATTCTGTCTTGCCCTTGGACCTTCTAAGCGTTGGCCCTGAAAATTAGGACCTCTTTGCCTTGGAGGCTCATAGCCTCTTCCCCGGGGTTCATCGAATCTGTGGGATTAGACAGAATGTTTTTTTTTCAATTAACAGTTTTGGTAAGGCTTTTCTATAAAACAATTATCCTGGTCAGAGAAATAAATATAAAATTTAAATTAAGTGTATAAAACAGTGCATATGTATTGAGTGAGACAATAGTTGGGAGAATTGGATGGTGGGGGAAAATTAACTTTGTTATTAACTGCTCAGCTCTCCATTTCCCGTTATTCACTGCAGGAATAGTTTGCTCTACCTTGACATTCTTCCCACTGGGAATATTGTCTTTCTTATGACTTAATCATAAGAACAAACTAAGGTTTCAGTTCAGTTTGTTTATTGATCGAAACAACTATATTAAATAAAATAGGGTAAACTATGAAATCAGATAAGATAATCTCCTGGACAGTTGGCTCCAATCTGATAAAAGATAGGAAGTTCTGAGTTGGATGGCTTTAGCCAGCTATAAGCCTGGTAGCCTTTTTTACTACCTATATGTTTGTATCTTGGAGAAGGTAAGATAAGCTATTAATGGGTCCCAATGAGCTATCAATAGCAATAGCACTTAGACTTATATACTGCTTCACAGTGCTTTACAGCCCTCTCTAAGCGGTTTAGAGTCAGCATATTGCCCCCAGCAATCTGGGTCCTCATTTTACTGACCTCGGAAGGATGGAGTCAACCTTGAGCCTGGTGAGAGTAGAACTGCCAAATTGCAGGCAGCCAGCAAGCAGTCAGCAGAAGTAGCCTGCAGTACTGCATTCTAACCACTGCATCACTGTGGCTCATATGCTTATCAATTAATGATTTTACAAGTTGTGCTGTGGTTAAAGCATATAGTTGGCAGTCAAAGAAGATATGAGTAATGTCTTGTCTCATATACACATATTTTCTCTGAATAAGGTACTTGATGAAGCTAGCCTGTGTTTTATCATAGAATCCAGAAACTCCAATCTTGCTCTGGTTAGGGCTGTTCTGTGTCAGGCCCATAATTTGATGTGTTTTTCTAACTGAAAATGGTTTCTTGTTCTGAGCCAGCCATTTTAAGTATTTGATATTAAGAACTGTCTCTACGTCAACTTGAGCATTAAAGTATCATATAGGCATATTTCATTATGTTTCTAGATAACGGTTTTTAAATATTTTTCATTGGGAATTCCAAATTGATTTTTCATCAAACATTTTTCATCCTTGTCATGTTAATCTAGTAGTATGTTATAAATCATATCTATGTAGTATACGATTTACAATACACTACCCTACACCTGATACTTGAGATAAGATAAAAACGTATTAAAGATAAAATTTGTGGCACATAGATGCAATGATCACTCCAGGGATTTGATATTTGAATAAACATTTGTGAAAATATTACTTTATGCATTATTTATTCTAGCTGTGTTCTTTCCTTCAGTGCAAAATTTAACTTCAAGTCAGATAAAATGACAAAATATTTAAAGGCATCAAATCTAAATACAAACACAACTTGTACAAACGCCTTTAATGTAATGAAACCAGAAAGTACTTGAAATGACTGCAGAGTATTTCTGATTATCAAATAATTCTGGCCACTAATTTAAATAAGAGGGGACTTATAACAAATATTGCTAGAGTTGTTTCTGAGGTAGGCTTTGTATTTGGTTTGCGAGTACTCCAGCTGCAAGATGCTTTGGATCATCTGATATACCGTATATACTCGAATATAAGCCGACCTGAATATAAGACGAGGCACCTAATTTTACCACAAAAAACTGGGAAAACTTATTGACTCGAGTATAAGCCTAGGGTGGGAAATGCAGCAGCTACTGGTAAATTTTAAAATAAAAATAGATACCAATAAAATTACATTAATTGAGGCATCAGTAGGTTAAATGTTTTTGAATATTGATTTCAAAGAAAAACAGTGAAGTAGCTCTGTAAGTGGAAAAGAGGATCAACAAAAATAATATGGTATCAACAATAACTTTAAAAGTACTGTATATGAGTTGGGTATCTATATAAATTTGTTTAATAAATACAGTGGGAAAGGTCTTTGGGGATTCCAGAATTTACATGGCACTAATTGGATTTTTGATCTCCCTTTTATTTTGAAAAATAGACTAGTTTTACACTATAAAAAAATTACACAAGAGAATTTTGCTTCCAGGAGGCTGCAGGGAGTCTTGCTAGGCACCCCCCTCATGCCCCATTTCCTCCTTGCAATGGAGCAAGAAGGAGCCAAAAAGGGGCGCGGGGGAGGGGCACCCCCCACGCCCCATTTTACCTTTAGCAAGCCTCCCTGCAGCCCCTGGGAGCCAAAACGGTTGCAGGAAAAAAGGCATTTTTTCCTCACTTGAGCATAAGCCAAGGGGGGCTTTTTTCAGCATAAAAAATGTGCTGAAAAACTCGGTTTATACTCGAGTATATACGGTAATACATTAGCTTCAGTTCTGCAGTTACCATGGTAAATTTATGTACTTTCTATACAGGTAGTTCTTGACTTACAACAGTTTGTTTAGTGACTGTTCAAAGTTATATCATCATTGAAAAAAATGAGTTATGACCATTTTTCACATTTACAACTGTTGCTGCATTCTCATGGTCATGTGATCAAAATTCAGATGTTTGATAACTGACTCATACTCATGACAGTTGCAGTGTCCCGGGGTCATGTGATCACCTTTGGACAAAGCAAAGTCAATGGGGAAGCCAGATTCACTTAACATATTATTAACTTAATAACTGCAGTGATTCACTTAACAACTATGGCAAAAAGGTCGTAAAATGGGGCAAAGCACCAGTTCGATTGGAGCAACATAAAAATCATTGGCCACACTACCACTCACCATGCTTGAGAGTTCATTGAAGCCTGGCACTTCACAAGCAACTTCATCAAGACACATTGACCTACAAGCAGTCTACGAACCCCTCAGAATCCAAATCAACCGCTGTCAACCAGAGACAGCGCTAACCCCAAACCAACCCATGCAATTCCCCACCCCCCAGCAGCAGTTCACTTCCCAATGACCACTGACACTGACATCCCCTAAACTCCGCAGATGATGTTATCTAGCCTGGAAACCAAATGTTGAGAAAGCAACCCACAAGCTCGAAGAATGAACCTTCACCCTCATTACTCTTGACTTCACAGCCCTGTTTCAAGAAGCATCCTTTATTATCAGAAGTAAACAGAGTACCTGGGTGAATAGTTTCCTAAATTACTTAGGGATGTCTAAGGTATACATATGTAAAGCATAATTTGGCAAGGTGGGAATATGGCAATGAATATTTATTTATTAATAAAATTTAATTAGCAGCCCATCTCATGAGAAGTGACTTGGGAGGGATGTACAATAGTTAATATAATCAGATCAGTCAATCTGATTATCAGATAAGCATATTCTTATTTCTTTAAGCATATTACGTATCTAACTATATATAATATAGAGTTTGTCAAGTAAAAATAAAACAGAAAGAATACCTACCTTGGGCTCTTGGGACCTTCATAGAATGGTGCCCTGGAGGAATCAGGAAACTCAGCTGACCTCAGTGATCTGTTCTGGTAAGCAGTGGTGGTAGTGATAGTAGTGGTGGACACAGATGATGAAGCTATTGTCGATTCTGATTTCATTTTTACAATAGCATAGTCAGATGAGGCTGACCCAAATGCTGCTGCCTGTTTGCCCAGAGGAGCATAAGAATCACCTTGGTCTGAAGAGCTCTCAGATGCTGTTACGTTTGAATGATAAGGCAAAGTGGCTGATGTATCAGTGTAAGAAAAAGAAGCAGGGGAAGGGGTAGGAAGAAGGGCCGGTCTGGTGGTTTCAGTGACTTGGGTAGCTGCATTTGAATCATTAATCTTAAATGAAAAAGCAGAAGCAGAAGTAGGAGTTGGAAGCAAAGCTGGCCTAGTTGTTTCAGTTGCCTGTGGGATGACAGATGAATCACTATTTTTAAAAGGAAAGGAAGTTTGGGTAGGGGTGGGAAGCAGAGCTGGCCTGGTTGTCTCCACGGTCTGGGAGGTAGCAGGAGATTCAGTTGCTTTGAATGCAAATGTAGTAGTAGCAGGGGTAGGAAGAAGACCTGGTCTAGCTGTTTCTGTGTTTTGAGAAGTGGGAGCTGACTCTGTAACTTTAAATGTAAAAGAGGTAGGAGCAGGAAACAAAGTTGGCCTCGTTGTCTCCGTGCTCTGGGAAGTGGAAGAAGAATCTTCTGTTTTGGACATGAAAGAACCAGACGAAGGGATAGGAAGAAGAGCTGGCCTGATCCCTTCGGTCCCCTGAGAACTGGAAAGCGATTCACCAACTTTAAAAGAAAAAGAATTAGAAGTAGGAAACAGAGCTGGTTTTGTTTCTGTGGTTTGAGTGCTCTTAGGTCCAGATTCTTTTGAAACAGTCATGTCAGATATCGCTGGGTCAGCAGAAAATCCAGGAATTGGTGGAGGAAGAGTAATTGCAGGTAAAACAGGCATGGTGCTTTGCACTGTTTGAGAATATGGAGAAAATGGAAACGTGCTCCCAGGACACTGAGTATTATTCAGGTTTTTAAAAGACTTCACCTTCTCCTGAAGGTGAGCGCAAGTGGCTTTCATTTGTCCCTGCCACATTTTCCACTGTTTCTCATACTCATGAAGCTGGTCTTTGTGAGGATAGGTCTGAAGTTGATCCTGCCACTGCTGAAATTCACGTTCCCACTCTTTGTAAAGTGGCTGGAATTGTTTATTCTGAGTCTCATAATGCTTTAGCTGCACATCCACTGTTGCTGTCTGTCAGGAAAAGAAAGTAATAATGAAGATACTGTGTGTTTGGATTTTTTTTAAAGTCCATGATCTGTACTCACAGTTATCCTAATGTATCAGCATATCATTTTAAACTTAAATAAAATTTCATACTTTCTACAATTTCACCGACTGTTTTAACCAACATTGTATTACTATTTTCTAGTAAAAACTGTTTTAGTTTTCTTTTCCTTAGGAAGTGTTATTAGTATCAATAGTGTTACTTCTAAGATTGATGTATAATTTCTAGAATAAGAACAAGAACACTAACATTTCACTGTTAGGCAAATATGTTGTCAGCATTCTCTAACATAACAAGCGCTAAAATTCAACTCCCATACATTTCAACCTGAAATAACCCTATTGGTATGGGATTATGTAAACCGAGATCCAAGACAGCCAAGGGGTGACAAATTGTGTGTACCTAGATACAGGAAAAAAAACTATGAAAAATAAGTAAAACAGTAAATAAGTATTAAGCTGTATTTCATAATTAAAATATAGCAGCAATTTCACTCAAGAACCAGTTTGATATAGTGACTGAACTGAGAGACTATGAGTACTGTCCTAGGCATGAAACCAGATGGATGACCTTGGGCCAGTCACTCTCTCTCAGCCTTAAAAAGCAGGCAATGGCACTTCTGAAATCTTATCAAGAAAACTGCTAGAAACTTTTCAGGCAATAGCCAAGAATCAACACTAACTCAAAGGGACAAAAACAAAAGCCAATAACAATTTTACTTATTTGGAAGTAAGTAAAATTATATTGTTTTAAACAACTTACTGACAAATGTGATGGTTGCTGTATAATCTGTTGATAGCGTTGTAAAATTTGTTGCAACTGTGAATGCTTTTGCATTATTCTTTGATACTGGAAACCCACTCTTTGTTGTGGATGTTGCTGCCATTGTGTCGCTGCTGCCTGTAGCTGCTGTAATCTCAAGCTTTCTTCAGGATCTTCTGGAGGATCAATGCTTAGCTAGAGTAGAAGGAATCAGTCATATTTTTTTTTCAATCAGTGATTAGAATTCCAGAGAAAAATAAGGATTAAAACCATTTTTAAAAATCGAAGAAAAACTAATACTAATAAGAAGATAGGCTTTTCTCTTGTTTTGGGAGGCTTAATATTTGTTTTAAAACTCCGTTGAGACTATTATAGAATTCAGATTGTAGTTTTTTGTTCAATGTCTCAAAATTATGAAAAATATTACCATAAATCTCAGCAACATTAATCAGGGCAGGCTCAAGGGAGCCCAAAGAAAAAGACTGGCATTGCCAGTTGCCCACTCTTGCTGCAATTTTTGACCCCCAAAAGATTTACTAACCATTCTTCCATTAATCAAAAATACATTTAAATATCTGAAATCAATAAAAGATGGAAATCTTTATCAATGAACACTTACGTATGGTGACACTTCTGTGAATAGCATACCTTATGTTCAACAGATGACGCAGGAGGCTCTTCATCTTTTGGATGTGGTAACATGGGATCATAATTCAAACTGGGTTCAGAAAGGCCACTAGAAACAGATGTTTCTCTTTTTTCTTTTCTCTGTTCAGGGGCATCATTCACAATAGGTGGCTGTTGCTGTCCCAATGCATGCGCTTTTGCCCTTTGCTGAAGGGTAAGTAGATGCTGTTGATACCAATATTGCTGTTGTTCCTACAATAAGTAGGGGAAGCATAGCAATTTCATAGAGAAACAGAATATCCTAGAATCTGAAGAAAGCTACAGTATTTACTGTAAAACAGAGAATAAATTCATATTTTTTAAAAATAATATTGATAATTAATTCAAACAAGAGAGCCAATAGATGCATTGGTTAAGATACCAGGCTAGAAGCCTGAAGATATGAGTTCTAGTCCTGCCTTAGGCACAAAGCCAGCTGGGTGACCTTGAGCCAGTTGATCTCTCTCTGTCCTAGGAAGAAAGCCGTTTCAACTTTGCTTCAAAAAATCTTGCCAAGAAAACAGCAGGGACTACTCCAGGCAATTGCAGAGGGTCAACATTGACTTGAAGGCATTAAAAATTAAAGTTGCACTGTGAAATTTGTTTTATTTATTTAGCATATTTATGTAGATAGACTACAAACATGTGATTCTGGGAGATGTACAACGTAACAATTAAAACAACTCCATAACATACTAACAGGACCAAAAAATAAAAATAAACAGATAAAACCCAAGAAAGCAGGAGAACAAATATCACTTATTTCATGGGTTCCTTCTGAGCCGTTTGCCCTTCCCACATTCCTGTTTTTTTTTAAATTTTTTTTTTAAAATTTGATTTATATGCCGCCCTTCTCCGGAGACTCAGGGTGGCTTACAATGCGTTAAGCAATAGCCTTCATCCTTTTGTATATTTATACAAAGTCAACTTATTGCCCCCACAAACTGGGTCCTCATTTTACCTACCTTAGAAAGGATGGAAGGCTGAGTCAACCTTGAGCCTGGTGAGATTCGAACTTACAGTAATTGCAGACAGCTGGTGTTAATCACAATGCTTTTAGTCTGCTGAGCCAACTCTGTGTTGTGGGCTAAGCTTCATTTTATGTGACTGTTCCCTTGACTGTGTCTCATCTCTTTGTCTCCCAAGTTCATCCCTATAAATTATTGGGCAGCACATGCTGTTTGGCTTAACAATGATTTCTCTTAGTGACAGAAATTCTGGTTCCAATTAAGGTCATTAAATGAGGACTACTTGTATACAACTTCCTCAGCTATTAACAGTAGGGCTTTGTTCTCATAAAGCAGCTAAGCAGAATGACTTCTAAGTATCAGTTTCTGCAAAATCTCTTATTTGATTCTTATGCCTACTTCACAATTTTTACAGTATAAATTACTGTGCAGTATAAATCAAAGTAATAGCTTTCTCAATGTATTTATTTGATTTATAAACAAACTTGTAGGGATGTCCTTCTATTAGAAGAAATTTCAGGCACCGAATAAACACAGTACACTAAAACAAAAAAGCATTTAAAGTAACAATGAGCCCAAATGAAATTCATAACATTTATCCATCATACCCTCATGCAGGGTGGATTTGATTTAAATTGAGTTGATTTAAATTACAATTTAAATCATGATTTAAATCACTAGTAAAAAGGTTTGATTTAAATCAACTCGATTTAAATCATAATTTTTAAAGAGCAACTGTCATCTCTGCTACTCCTTTGACCCACTGTTGACTCACCGATAGTCCCAGTGTTGCAGAATATACAGCCTCATGCTACATAACTAAGCTCCATTTCATGCTGAATAAACTAAATTATTTATGTATCTTAAATAGAAAACTATCTTACGATAGATTTTTACCCCACAAGTTTTTTATTAAAATAAATTCGATAAAAATAAAAAAAAATCCGATTTAAATAAAAAAAATCCGATTTAAATAAAAAAAATCTGATTTTTTTGAAAAAATCATTGATTTTTATCCACCCTGCCCTCATGCCAAGTTTCTAACTTTCTAGCCCCCATGTCTGATTTTCACTGGGAAAGCCAGATCTCCACTGGTTTCCTAACAGCCAACAGATTTGGGGTTAATCTGTATTTCTGGGAGGAGCTGTTCCATAAGACAGATACCATAATATAAAATGTACCAGGGTGGATTTGATTTAAATCGAGTTGATTTAAATCACTAGTAAAAAGGCTTGATTTAAATCAACTCGATTTAAATCATAATTTTTAAAGAGCAACTGTCATCTCTGCTACTCCTGTTGACTCACCGATAGTCCCAGTGTTGCAGAATATACAGCCTCATGCTATATAACTAAGCTCCATTTCATGATGAATAAACTAAATTATTTATGTATCTTAAATAGAAAACTATCTTACGATAGATTTTTACCCCAAAAGTTTTTTATTAAATAAAAAACTTATTAAACTTTATTAAAATAAATTCGATTTAAATTAAAAAAATCTGATTTAAATCAAAAAAATCCGATTTAAATTAAAAAAAATCTGTTTTTTTAATTTTTTTTTTAAAAAAATCATTGATTTTTATCCACCCTGAAATGTACAGTTCTGAGGCTCCATCAAGTGATATTTTTCACTGAGGGGACCCAGAGCCTGCCTATTCTGCCAGAGATAATAGGATGTATGAAAAACATCAGGGATAGGCAGTCCCACAAGTAACCTGGTCCCATGCCATGTAAGATTTTAAAAGTGACACCAACACCTTGTATTGTTCCCAAAACCTAGACACCAACAATGTTACAGGAGCATATCAGCATGCAGCCACTACTACCTGTCCAGCATTCTGGACCATCTTAGCTTTCAAATGTTCTTCAGGATAGCCTTATAGAGACTGCATTGCAATAGTCCAATTGGGAGGAGACTAAGGCATGAGTGCATGAATGAGTGTGAGCAAGGCCTCCTAATCTAGCAAAGAGCAAACTGGTATTTGTACAAGGCCCTCCTGGCCACAGCTAGTACCTCTCATCAAGATGGACCCAATGGTTACGAGTGTCATCCCAGCCAGAGTTAAAGATGGCAAACCAATAGACACGGGGGACCCTAAAACCTATAGCCTACCATTTTTGTCATGGTCAGGCCAAAGCTGGTTCTTTCACATCCAGGAACGTTTAGCCTCCGGGGACTAGGAAAACCCCTTGATGGGATCATTTGAATGGCCTGGGGCAGAGTTGTGCAGCTGAATATCATCATCATACTGATATTTCACTTAGCTCACTGATCAGTGACCTAACTCAATGGTTTTATAAGAGTGGGGAAGAAGAGGCTGAACTCTCCCTGCTACCAATAACAAATGGAACTGGTCTTGGATGAAGAAGTACCACTGAATAACAATGCTTCTCACTCCCAAACACCTCAGTCAGCTCAGGAATATAATATAATATAATATAATATAATATAATATAATATAATATAATATAATATAATATAATATAATATAATATAATATGGCACTGATAGTGACTGAGAAATCAAACCACACTAGAATGGATACACCACCCCCATCCCAGTCTCGCCAGAGGTCATCTACAAGTGCGATCAATGCCATTTGGGTTCTGTATCCTGGCCCGAAATCTGACTGTAACAGGATTAATTCAAGAATAAATTATTAATTCATGAATTTATATTAATTCCAGGCATAAGCATGTAAATAACACTACAATAATTACTAGCAACTATAACCAAATAATGCATAGCTAGTATAAAAACAATTTTTCATTCCACTGTTCTCTTTCAAGATAGTTACAAGCTGACTTTCAATAATGTATTAATTAGAATTCATCAAGAAATAATAAAGAAAATAAAGTTAGCAAGCTAATTCCTGAATACTTGTTGAAAAGTCGTAATATATTAAGTATGTATGAGACTTTTTAGAGCAGTGGTCCCCAACCTTTTCAACTTTGTGGACTGGCAGCAGTGGCGGGAGAGGTGATGATTCTGTGCGAGCAGCGGGTGAGAGAATGTGCTTGCCCACCATTCACCCAAATGGAGCTGTGTGCATATACATGTACTTGCCTGCCTTTTGTGCAGCCTGGTTCTGAATGGGCTGCAATCTTGTACAGGGTTGGGGACCCCTGCTTTAGTGAATTGATTTCTAATACAAAATAACTGATTATAGCAATAGCTTTCAAGGCTAAATTCTATAAACCCAGCCAAAACCCTACTGAACAGCATAGTTGTTTTATATACTGTATATTTATGGATGAATGTATAAGGATTGCTTTGTGTTGACAGCAGAGGTGTGTTGGTTGGTTAGATAAGAGGCAGTATTTCTGTTTACAGATGTTATTTTGCTAGATGAGAACCCAAGTACCTTGCAACATATGTTGGACTGTAAGACATACAAATAACACATATGTGAAAATTAATGTTTTAAAGACCAAGGCAATTGTGTTTGACAAGAGAAAATGGAGAGTCAATTATACACTTTGGCAGAATGTTTACTCAATGTGGAAAATGGAGGGAGCCATTTGAGACATGCAAATGGTGTAAAGGAAGTGAAAAGTGAATAGTCTGTTGCAGGGGATAAATGTTTGTCAAACAAACCTATGTTCAGTTGTGTGCTTCTGCTGTTTTGTGACATAGAAGCAAGAGTTGGATACCTGAGGAGAAACATCAATGTAAGTTGACTGCAGCCAAATAAGAAGTATGTGGAATAAACAAAGAAAAAATAGAGTCAAGAATTAATGGGTGTTCAATAAAGCATGGATTGAATATAAGAGTGGTCAGTACAAAAGAAATACATTGAAACATGAAAGAAAATGAAAGAGGAGCAAATTGCAAAATAAATATATGAAGGAAGAATGATAAAGAAAGTTATGGCATTTGTGATTCGATTGAATTGGTGAACCCTCAGAAGTCAGATGTTTAAAAATGAAAAGGCAAAGTGCAAAGCAGTTCATGAACATATTAGAAGACAGGATGGTCTGCAAGGATAGAATAGAGATGTAGTGAATCTTATCTATATAAACTATGTTAAACTGTATTTACTTTTCTTCATGCCCTTAATTCTTTAGTTTATTATTTTGTAATTATTTTCTTCTTTGTATAGTATCACTTACCTTAAAAATAAATAGCATTACAGATATTCTATTTATGTGTGGAAAAGTAGCAGACATCACAAATAGCAGACAGCAGATAGTTTGCCACACTCTTTAATAAAAACTAAGTTTGGGCCAATAGTTAAAGGCACCAGGCTTGAAACCAGGAGACTGTGAGTTCTAAATCTGCCTTAGGCATGAAAGTCATTGAGCAACTTTGGATCAGATATTCTCTCAGGAAAAATAGAAGGAAGGAGGAGCATGTTTGCTGCCTTGAGTTATTTACAAAAATAATAAAGCACGATAAAAATAAAGTCTGAAAATAAAAAGGTATTCATTGTGCAAGAACCTTCCCCTCTCCAAACACAGCACAGTACATATGTCAGCTATCATTATTATAGGTTATTCTGAAATTGTGGCCATGCTATTGAAAAAGTCTGAGTAACCACTGAGCAAACAGAATATCCAAAAGAAGAGAATATATGCACCTCAAGGTTGAGTCCTTGGTGATTTCTGAGCTTGGTTGTTACTTGCAGATGTTTTATCAGTGCCCTAATTGTACCATCAGAGCAATGATCAGTGACATCAGAGCACTGTAATAGATTAGTGCCAGTAGAGCACTGATTTTATCTAGTTGAATAATGAAATGTTTGCAGGTAAAACAACCAAAGTTAGGGTGCACCAAGGATTCCACATGCTTTCCTCCTATATATATATATATATATAGCGAAATACCACTCATGCATCATCACAAAATCTCCAGAACCGTAAAGCCTATAAACTTGAAATTTGCCACGTATGTTCCTCTTGCCGCCTAGGTGCTCACTAAGAAAGGATTTTTCGAAATGACCATCAGAGCATTAGTATTTCCTATATTATTATTAACACGCTCTGATGCTAAGGAGTTCTATTCCCACTCCTCGCCTGAAAAGAAATCTGGTCCAAATCCAAAAACACAAGCAGAGGAGAGGAGTTTCAGTTTCAGTTTTACTTTCACAGCAGCAAACAGCTTTACTACAAAACAAATGAGCTAAGCCATGGCCAGGCTCCTTCCTGTCTCCTTCTTGCTCACACAGCAAGTACTGTTTCACTTTCCAAACAACCCTCTGATGCTGAGTTCTACTCTCCCTCCCCACCTGAAAAGAATTATGTTCCAAATGCAAGACACAAGCAGAAGAGAGGAGTTTCACTTTTACTTTCACAGCAGCAAGCAGGGGATAGGATAGGGGAGGATTCTGTGGGGCAAGGGTGAGGGAGAGAAGGGGATAGGATAGGCTTCTGTGGGGCAAGGGTGAGGGAAAGAAGGAGAGCCTGATGGTAAGTACTCATTAATTTTCAAGCTGTAAGTGTCAATTTATCAAGCCCGATCACATAGTTTCGTAGCGGAGCACAGGTATTCAGCTAGTTCATAATAAAAGCCACTGTAACATTTTGTCCTACTGCTATACATACACACCTCCTAGTTAGAACACTATAAGGAAAAAGCTTTTATAGTCCAGAGACAAACTGCAATGGTTACTTCATCCTTACCTGGGGAGTCATTGCGGATAGATCTGCACGTGAGCCGCTTTGTTGTTGCTCGAACTCTTTCTCTGGGCCACTGCTCAATCTTAATTCTGGTGGTTCGGAAGCACTCTGAGTAATCTGGGATGAAGTGAAGTGGGATTCGGGCTGGGAGGCTGATGTTGCAATGGGCTGGCCTAGCTGGGAGGAGGACTGGGAGTTGGCTTGGTAACTTTGGGCCTGGTTTGGGTAAGACTGAGAGAGGGTCGAAGAGGGGGCGTCCGAAAATGTCTTGGGAACTGCCTGAGACAAGGGCAAATGGGGCTGGTAAGCCTGCGGTGGTGGGATCTGGCTCTGCGCTGGCAGAGGCTGAGGCGGGGGTACATAGGGCTCAGCTTCTAACTGGGGCATGAAAGTCTGGGGCGGCGATTGGGGCGGCGAAGACAGATCCATGTCCATATCCATGCGAGGGCTGGACGAGGGGACCAGGGGCTCCCACTCCTTGCGGGGCTGCGATGACTCGGCAACCTCATCTGTAGACGAAAGCGGCGGCATCGGGGGGTTTCGGAACTGGGGTTCCCGAGGCAAAGGCGGGGGAAGGGGATCGCGGTGTTTAAACTGTTTCTGATAGCTCCGCGCGGGCGGAGGCCCGGCGGGCACCGGCGGCTGCCAGGAAGTGCTGGCGATGGAGGAAACGGGCAGAGGAGGCGGCATAGTCGGGGGAGGCGGGACGGGCGGAGGGGGCCCCCCTAGCAACACCGATTGCAGCTGCTTCTGGTGCATCTGCTGGAGCTGCTGGAGTTGGACCAGGTGCTGCTCCTGGAGGCTCAGAAATCCCCCAGTCCCGGTACCGCCAGAAGTCGCCGAGCTGGTCGAGTAACCACCTAAAACAGGCGGCGGGATTTGAGGCGGCGGCGGCGGCATGGAGGTAGGCAGCACGCCCGGTAAAGGCGGCGGCGGCAACAGCATTGTAGGGGGCGGAGGGTAATGCCCCGGGGTTGCCCCATACAGACCCCACGACGGGAACATGGATCCGAGAAACGGGTCTCCGAGGGCGTCGCCTGGCCAAAGCGCGGCCTTCGCAGGCCGCAATAGCTACGGAGTCCGTGCGCTCTTCTGCGCCTGCGTACCAAAATGCCTGACGAGCTCCGGTCATAGAGATGCGACTTCCTTTAAACGAGAGCGTCTCCGGCTCAGAACTAAGCTAAGGGAATGACGACACAAGCACGGCATTGGTGCTCGCCATTGATTTCCGGCCAAATGCGTTGAGGTGGGATTCTATATCAGGGGTCTCCAATCTTGGCAGCTTTGAGACTTGTGGACTTCAACTCCCAGAATTCCTCAGCCAGCAAAGTAAAGCTGGCTGAGGAATTCTGGAAGTTGAAGTCCATAAATCTTAGAGTTGGCCAAGTTGGAGACCCGTTCTGTATCAAAAGAAGCTGAGGAAGTTTATTGCCGGAGAATAAGGAACTTAATTTCGTTCAGTTAATAAATGCTTCATATGATCTTTTTTCACATCTGAGGCATAGCTTTTAAATTTCCACGACGAGGATAATTAGTTGATTATAGACATGTTGAAAACTTGTTCTGTAAAATGCTGACTAAAATAAAGATTGCTTGGATTAAGAGTACATGTGGTCCAGCATCTTGTTCTCTAGTTGCTAAATACAGGTAGTCTTCGATTTCACTGTTAGACTGTTAGAAGTTATAGTGGTATTGATTTATGACTGTTTTTCACACTTATCATTATAGCATCCCCATGGTCACGTGATTTATATTTGGATGCTTGACAACTGACTCATATTTATAACAGTTGCAGTGTCCCAGGGTCATGTGATCACCTTTTGCGACCCTCTGACAAGCAACGTCAACAGGGAACCTGGATTCACTTAACAACTGCAGTGATTCAGTTAACAAATGTGACAAGAAGTCATAAAATGGGGCAAAACTCACTTAACAAAATTTGTGCTCAATTGTGGTCGTGAGTTGAAAATTCCTCAGTGAATATTGTAGCATTTCCTGCTTATGGCCCTTACCATATACACAGATACTGCATGCAATACACACCAACTGTAACAAAGATCCTAAATTGTTCTTTGCTGCTAAATTTACAAAGATGCTTTTCCTTTGAGCAGGACAAGTGAGCCTAATTTCTTAGCCTAATCTTGAGTTAGATATGGGGTGTAGGTCAAGAGGATAAAGATTGGAAAATAGTCATCTCTTTTCTCCCAATTTAAATCAGGTTTACTACTACCTGGCTGTTTATTTCATGCTGAGGTAGTGTGTCAGGACTGCAATCCTGCTATATTTTGCTTGCTGCCAGCCTGCCATACTCATCGGGGGTAGGTGGGGGGTACTGAGAGGTGGGATAAGGGAGGGCGAAACTAGCATGAGAGAAATTGAAACTACGCATTGTGCCATCTCATGTGAACTGCCAGCCATTCCAAGGTCACACTATGGAATGCAGAACCATCCAGCCTGCGAAGCCAGGGACTGTTACCCAAACAATTCGTTAGAATTTAATTGGACACTCAGAGATAACCAGGGGAGAAGGTGGGAACAAGGGAAAAATTAACCATATGTTTGGGGCGCGAAACTCAGATCCGTCATTGCTTCTGTTGTAACCACTTGGCTTTACTAAAGTGTATTTTCGTTAACAATAGATATGAGTTTTTCTTTTCTAACTGACCAAGTTGAGATGGCCGACATAGAGAATTTCAGTAACTGTAACTAAACTATTTTGGTATTTTGCAACTTCTTCCTCCAATTGTACAGTATTTCAAAATATTGATGGTTGCTGGAAGACACTGCAAATCAACTGCAGTTTAGATCAAGTGGCAATGCTAGAAAATCTTTTTGGAATGTTGCACACCTCAACATTCAATAGATTAATGACATCATTTAAGAGGAATAATTTAGTTTGGAGACACTGTTTTCTGGCAGCTATCTTTAATTTTAGTTTCCATCATATAATGCTCCATCTCTTCCTAAGAGAGCTGAGGAAGGAAAAAATAATTACAGATACCTTGTATTGTGAAAAAAGGTATGATGTGGGAAGACATTTTTAATCCATAGCTTTAAGATGCTGACAGTGGTTTTCAGAGAAAAAAATTATTTAATTTCCGTCTGCATGTTATACAGCAAATATATCTGCCTTTTGAAAAACAATTGTTTTTGCATGCAGGCCTTATCTTTAACAAAACAGCTTTCTTTAGTAACTACATTTAATTTCAATTTTTCCCCTTTTGTTTTGTCTTCTATTGTCATCACAGAAATAATTTTTAACAAAATCTAAACCTTTGTTTTACTGAATTATTTAGTATTATGAATGAAAAAGTTATCTGTACAATTTTATACCATTGTTTAATATTTTCTAAAATATAAACACTATGTTATAGGATAGATGTTCTTGTAATTATTTTCATTTCTATAATATTTGAAAGGGTCACTTTTAAAAACTTTTTTCTTTACAAACTGCCTGTGTTGAACACAACTATTTTAGGTTTGGAAATTTTTATTTATATACAAATTGGTTTCTTCATATTAGAATTAATGCCAGGATCAATACTTGTAATTTTCCACTTATATTAAATTATTAATTATGTATGGAATAGAGGGTTTTGCACCCAAATTTCAAAATATTGAGTGTTTTGACAATTTTAAGCAAGTGTTTGAATTTCTGCATAAATCCTGTAGAAATGCTCCCTTCAACAATTCATATATGAATATTGAACATTTGTAAAATGGCTATATCATGAGAAAATTTCTTAATAATAAAGAAGAAATTCTCAGAAACACATTTACAAGCAGTACAAATGTTTATACTAGATCCCAGAACATGGAATAGAACAGGGCTGTCAAACTCCTGGCCCGTGGGCTGGCTGCGTCACGCACTGGCCACGCCCATGCCTGGTTTAGCAAAGGGGAAAAAACTCCTGATACGTCACATGACGCTGCCGTGACGACATGACTTTGACACCCCTGGAATAGAATGTCCATTTTATCTGAAAGAGATTTAACGAATTAGTTCAAATTCCAAGCACTATAAGAAATGAACCCAGATTATAACTTCATTATAACTGGCTCAGTGTTCTGGAATTCAACATGGCAGGCATTTTTTCTATCATATTTAAAATCGAGGAGCTCCATAATCATCAGGCATCCGCTCAATGTTATACCTAAAATTAGAAAGAAAAAAATGAAAAATTATGTAGTCCACTGTATTTCCCTCATTGTACTAAGCCGGTACAAGTTTAGAATCTTAGAAGCACCTATTATCATTATGCAATTAAGACAGTAGTTCAAGGTGCTGCACCATTCAGGCTAAGCAAGAGGAAGAAGCAACATATTACTAAATACTTGTAGGAAAAATTACACATTATAAAAGAGTATTATATACTATTGCTTATTCAGTGCCATCAGCTATCCTGAGTCACTGTGAATCAGGCAGTGCACAAATGTAATAAATAAAAATACATTTATTTGAAGCAAGTAGTCTAGAAATATAAAATAAATAAGGGTATAAAATGAAGTTGATCCAGTATGTATGAGTGTATGTGTGTGTTTGTGTTTGTGGGCTAGTTTCATAGTTTTCTCAGTTAATGTACAAATGTGATTGTATTGTGGCTTTTATTACTATAGAACCGTGATGGTGAACCTATAGCACATGTGCCATAGGTGGCATGCAGAGCCATATCAGTGGGCACACGAGCATTGCTCTAGCTCAGCTCCAGCACTCATGTGTGCGTGGCCAGCTGATTTTCGGGCCTTTTGGGCCCACAGGAAGTCAGGAAACAGGCTGTTTCCAGCCTCCGGAGGACCTCCGGGGGTGGTGGTGGGGAAGGCCATTTTCACCCTCCACAAGCTCCTAGAAAGCCTCTGGAGCCTGGGGAGGGCGAAAAACAGGCCTTCCAGTCCCACCGTGCCATTGCATGCCAAAAGCAGGAGGAGCACGAGGGGTGTGTGTGTCGTGTGCGCATGTGTGTGTGTGGGGGGCAGGGAGCATTGAATTATGGGTGTGGGCATGCACGCACATAATCCCCCCAAGCTTCCCGTTTTTGGCACGCGATGGCAAAAAGGTTAGCCATCACTGCTATATAACCTCTTGTTTAGTCATCTAAGCAGAATGTTTCTGACATAAAGGGCTGTGTATGCAGTTCGGCCATACAATTCATGTACACATGTAATCCTGTGTGTGTGTGTGTGTGTGTGTTTGAACTGTAGCTTCGCTGTCTACAAATGCATGTGTGCATGCGCACGCGTCCGTACATACATACACATAAATATACATATGCTCTTGAACATTCAGATTATTACAAAGCAACATCAAAAACTACATTTTATTTGGTCAGATAATGCTTTCTCACATACCTGTGATTGGATATATACATTATTGGTACTCCTGGGATCTTTCGTATTCTTCGCTTCAGGTCTCTGTCTACAGTAGCCACTATGTAACATTTGTGCTGTAAGAGAAAGAGACAATCTGGTTATAAGAACACCAAATCAAATATTTTCATTTTTTTAAGCAACTGTCAAGAGCTATGATGAATTACTTAAACTATTTGTATGCCAGACGGCCTTCTCTGGTAGGTGAAATATTAACTAGAGTCAATGCCCAATTAAATATTAGCGTCTCTTGTGGGTCACTGAAATGAAAACAAACCGAGAAGCTCTTTGTCAACAGAACAGCAAGAGAAGTTCATAGAACAGATGTACCTGGGTGACCCTCTGTACCAAACAGTCATCAGCATAAGTTCCTTTGTGAGTACATGGCAATCGCTCAAATCGGGGATCTTTTGCTATCCTGCAGAGTAATAACAGAAAAAAAAATTAGGATAGATGATTAAAAACAGACTTTAAAAAAATCACATTTTTGTCTTTTTTTCATTAAACGGGTTACTATACATTCATCAGGAAAATAGGAATTCTGGGGAACATAATTTGATTTCCCCCCCCCCCTTGACAAATCCTGAGGTTCATGAACAAATATGAGCTTAATTCATTTATTTTCTGCACTCCAACTATACCAAACTAAGAAAAAGGCTTAGAACTTTATGACATACCTCCTGGGGTCCTGGAAGACTTAAGAAAATTATTAAAGTACAACCTTAAGGGGGGAGGGGCACATGGCAATTTCTGGTTTAGTATTATATAATTTGAAGATGGAAACTTGTTTGCTCCTTGTTTTCTCAAGAGACATAGGTACTTTTCTATGAGGACAGTGCATGCTTTGAAAATAATTAGGAAAAAGTGTTTTAAAATTCGTATACGCACAACATCTCTCTGCCATTTATTTTCAAGAAAGGCACAATCCTATTTTATTCCAATATAAATGGTTGTTATCTAATACAATGCTATTTTTATGAATGACCTGTGAATTCAGTGATATCTATAAAAATATCTCAATTGTATAAGTAAAATAGATGGAAATATATTTTATTTTGTATGTTTTGAATGCTCTCATTTTTCTCTTTGCACCAGAAAAAAATAGACTTTTTTTCCACAGGCATGAATATTCTTTCAAATGTAGCTGAAAGCAGAACTGAGTCTCTGTACTACAGGAATTTAGGAACATCTACTCCCTTGGCTTATTTTCTTTAAGAAATTTCTAAGGTTGAAATCCATGGGAAAACAAAGTGATGGAAAAATATTAAGATATAATGGAGTATAGGATTTATATTCTAAACAAATTATGAATCCTTAGTCTTCATATTTTTACTTTAGATAAATCATATCAAAGAACAGAGTCAAATTATTACATTTTTACCTTAAAGCTACACGGTACTTCTGTCCCAGTTTCTCAATTTCAGCCATGACACAATCTGTGATACAAGGAATGCCTGCAGAAATGCACATGTATAACTATCTAGCACTGAATTTTTTTTTACATGATATACTTAAACTCCTATGTAACATTGTTTTTAATAATAATTTTAGTAAGCATTTTAATGAAAAGGAAAAGATATATATACAGACCCAAACATAAAAAACAAGCAAAAAATAATAAGTACATAGATAAATGAGGGACTTATAAGTGTTATAGAATTAGGTTAAAATGAAAACTTTTTATTATTAAGTTTATTAGTAACTGTTTGTTAGTAGTGCTTGAATTGTTATTGCTGGACATCAGAAAGGCTAAATGAAGAAAAGGGGCTTGGGCATGAAGAAAATTATTGAGAATATGCACGAGATGAACAATTAAACATATAATCTAAAACTAGTCTGTTCACTGACAGCATCAATAAAGAATCTAAAACTTAAGTATTTAGGTATGTAATTCAAGGGCAAGAGAGACCAAAGAAGTTCCTACACTTGGAGAAATCAAAGGTAATTGGCAAAAGGGTAGAAAATATAAGATGGCTAGATAGGATCAGTGATGACAGAAGCTTGAGCTTGCAAGAACTGAAATAGCAATAGCACTTAGACTTATATACCGCTTCATAGTGCTTTTACAGCCCTCTCTAAGCGGTTTACAGAGTCAGCATATTGCCCCCAACAATCTGGGTCCTCATTTTACCCACCTCGGAAGGATGGAAGGCTGAGTCAGCCTTGAGCCTGGTAAAATCTGAACTGCTGAACTGCAGCTAGCAGTCAGCTGAAGTAGCCTGCAGTACTGTACTCTAACCACTGCACCACCTCTGCTGAAAAAAGCAATTACACACATACTGTATAGTCCTGGGAAAATAATATCTATCTTGTCATAAAGAATCAGAACTTAATGAATAACAAAACAGTTCTGCTTACCAGCCAGTGCATATTCTTTATTTTTAGTTATCTAATAACATTTTCCTAGGGGCTGCCTAGGACCAATCAGGATATTTTATAATACTTAAATCTAATTGTTTTAGGAAACAGAAATATTTGTGAATTTAATAATAAAACAACCAGTAAAAGCCAATGTAAATCTTAACAAATGATACAGATCTGGATACTTACATTTGGCATAGAGACAATCCATCATTGATTGCACTAGATCCAATTTGGCTTTAATGGAAAAATTAATAAAATTGGTATCCACTAAGATGTAATATGGAGGTCCTAGTTGTGTGTTATATTGGAAGAATAAACACGAAGGATATTTGGGGCTGAAAAAGAGAAACACTGATTTTATTACTTTTTCACATAAAACAAATACCCTATTGTATTAGTGTAAACCAAAGAGTAATATTGATCAAATATTTTTTACACATTCATATTATCTGTCATTGCAGTATTCTAATTGGAAGTTTTTCAAGCACAATTACAGTATCAGAATTCAATGTAGTATTAAAATGCTGAAGAATGGGGTCTCTAGTCTTCTTCCTAAGTGCATAAGAATAATTTTTGAAAAATGTCATTTCATTAAGCCATGTGGTCATGTGATGTTTCGCCTAACAACCACATCACTTGGTGACAGAAATTCTGGCCCTAGTGATTAAAAAGGTGAAGCTTTTGCAACCCTTATATTCATCACAGTCCTGATTGTCGCTATAAGCACAACTGAAATCCATGACTCCCAGCCACTTGATTCATAAGTCAATCACAAAAGCCATGATTTCTGTGGTCTCACAAGAAGCAGCTGTCTCCTGATCCTTGTTCAGAGGGACTCTGCTGACCAGAATTTGCTGTCTGGCCAGTCTCTGTCGCAATGCCATCTCAGCTCCTTCGGAGACATCTAGTTCACCACTAGATCTCACCCCAAAACCAAGAACAATGCATCTTCACATCTTCATTGTTTCAATGATGAAATAATGTTTTTTTTCTTACAATGTACAATGTGGATAGCTGCTCAAACCATTCCAATCTATCTATTTTCAAGCACCTTTATTTCACAATATCTATTTGCCATTTCTAATACCTTCGAAGGGTTGATACATTGCACGGTTTGCTTTGAACAGCATATTTCAGAAGTGGTGGTTCCTTTTTACTTCTGTTCAACCATGTCAAATTCTCAGAGACTGTCTAGGCAGGTCCCTGCAATTTTCTTGGCAGGTATTTTAGAAGGAGTTTGCCATTGCTTCCTTCCTAGGGCTGAGAGAAAATGACTGGCCCAAGGTCACTCAGCTGCCTGAGGTAAGAGTAAAACTTTTGGTCTTCCAGATTCTAGCTTGCTGCCTTAACCATTACACCAAATTGGTTCTCATTTAGTTCTTAATTATGATTAAATCATAATGTAGTTCGTAGTTACAGGGTACCCCAATTCATTGTATGAGCTAAATTACTACATGAATAGTTCATACATTGGAATGGGAATTAGATTAACTAATCTTGCAGTATAATCCTTTAGGCGAAAGAATAACTGTTGTGCTAGATCTAAGCAGTGTATCATGAGCTCTTTAAAATAATGAGTTTGAAATATTACTGCCAAAATTGCAGACGAAATTATTTGAACTTAGATGTCAAGCTTCGAAATGTGCTCATGCTGCTTTCACTTTCACAGCTTACCAACGAACTATGGCGCGGGGGGGAGGAATATATCTTAATATATCTTCTAAAATATATTCTTTGACTATTCAATAAGGGTAGGAATAATTTGGTACTCACACTTCTGTCTCCTTGATGGCACTGGGATCTTCTTTCTTCTTTTCTTTACGTTTTGCTCGGTCTTTCTCTTTACTAAAATATTAAAAAGATTTACAAATGCATATTGTGAAAATTGGCTAAATTACTCAGAGGCAAAATTTGGGAAGAAATAGGAACATACAAATAATTAGTATAAAAATTTGAGTATTTTTAATTAAATACTTCAACAATTGTCACCATTAAGTGATAACAAAAATCTCACATGCGCTGATCACGAAGGCTGATCATGCGTTTCATGGCAGCATATTTCCGTGCTTTCTTCTGTTTCCCCTAGAAAGAGAAAGAAATGATGGAAAGTCTTCACTACTGTTACAATATAAAGCTTAAATTTCTCAACTTGATTCCAAAAGTCAAGCTTTTACCTAGTAGATTAATTATGGATTCTCACTCCATTCTTCAATTTCATAATAAATGAAATCCTTTGAAATAATATCAAAATGGTTTTAAGATTGAGAAATACAATGTGAGTGCTATTATTAAAACTATGAAATGTTATTTCAAAATAATTTTATTTTATTTTAAGACATAAATTAAGGACAGAATAAAATGGGAGAAATTAAAACTCATTTTTAGGCAGGATTTCTGTAATAAAGATGAATGCTTTTGCTAGAATGAAATTTTTGTTTCAAACAATACTTGTTTTGACAACTGATGTGCAATTCAAACAATGGCAGAAAGCTATAGCTATATGGCAAGGGGAAAAGCCGCGAATTAAATCCAAAATGTTATAAAATGCAAAGGAAAAAGGATTGAAATTGTATTTTGCAGCTTGTGATTTGTTTTGGATAAAAGAATGGATATAGCTGAGAAACAAGAGCTTTTTAGAGTTAGAAGACTGCAACCTGAGGTTTGGATGGCATGGACACCTTTGGTGATAAAGCTGAAATGTGCATTTTAAAAATCATTTTATTAGATGTACCACATCGAGAAACCTAAGCTGCGCATGAAAATACTTTTATTCCTCTGAACACAAGAAGCATTTAAGATAAGAAATAATAGCGGTAGACAAAGATAAATGTTATTGTAAGATACTAGAATTTTAACAAGTTTACCAGGTCATAGTTGTCAATGTTTTTCTTATTTACAGTTATCAGAAATATTCAAAATGAATAAAAACACTTATGGTATAGAGCAGTGTTGACGTGCCTTTTCGGCACTGAGTGCTGAAATGGGAGCATGCGTGCACGCGGGGGAGTCCCGGAAATCGAAAGAGCTGCTCCCCAGTGTGCATGTGCGCAATGGAAAGCTGAGCTTCTGGTTTCTGGCATGCACGCCGGTCACTTGGTTTTCCGATTTCTGGCGTGCATGCACACGTGAAGACTAGCTGGCCAGGGCGCATGCACGTGGCATGCCAGAATATTTCAATACTGTGACAAGATTACTATATGTACAAGGTGGAAAGATTGGATATTATCCACCACGGCCAAATGGAGAAATTGACAGAATGTGCTTTGATTGGAGAAAGGACAATATCTACATTTATTAGTGACTAGAAATCCCTCATGAATTTTTGAAGAAAGTCATGATGTTAGAAGCCCCTTCTTAATACCGTTAAATTTTTCTTTATCTATTTTTTTCTGAGATGTGATGTAGCAGTGGTTAAGTGCAATACTGCAGGCAAACTGCCCACAAGCTTGAGTTTGATCCTGATGGGGCTCAAAGTCGACTCAACCTTCCATCCTTCCGAGGTTGGTAAAATGAGGACCCAGATTGTTGGGGGCAATATGCAAACAAAGCTTACATTGTAAACTGCCTAAGTACTATTACTATTCTTTTTTTCTTGTTGAACTTTTAGTTTTTTCTGTTATTTCTTTTCATTTCCTCTGTTCTATTTTAGCTTGTATTAGTTCTTATTGTTACTGTTAAATCTTTTAATTTATATAAATACAAACAAAAGATATAGTATTCCATTCTATGTATAGTTTAAGATGATAATATCATACTATGTACACGCCCCCCAATTCACTCCGGAGCTTTAAGAAATTGCCCAGATCAGATCTGAAGCATCAGTGAAATCACCCTTCCCCTCAATTCATTCACTCTTATTTCTCACATCCTATTTATTCTCTCTATATGACCAAGCCACCCTAACTGTATTTTCATTCAGTTGTTCATTCTTGACAGTAGCTCTTCTTGTTTTTCACACACATTCCTTGTTATTTATTTCCAGTGTATGCAAACTTTTATGTTTCTGGTTGCATGCACAATTCAATTCAAACCAATTTGTCACTTTTTTTTCTAAATCACCAAACATGCTAGAAACGTTTCACATTCATACATTTCTCAGTGATCTTCTGAAGAACAAAAAGTCTTTCTCTTTCCTGGAAGTTTAATGAAATTCACAAGAACAGTCCATCCGTCTTTCTCCTAGTCACCCAGTGTTATATCTTTTTTCTTCCTTTCATTCATTAATTTGTGTATTTTACCATATATTTGTCTTCCATTACAAACTATAATTTTCCATGTTTCTCATCAGAAGGGCCAATAAATATTGACCTCTGCCACTCATCATGGTTTTGGTCAACTGAAGCTTTTGCATGATTATTTTGAGTATGATAAAAAAAATGAAGACTAGATTACCATTCTTAATTATGCCCATACTACTCTCTATTAAAAGTAAGGACATTGTTTCAATTGATCTTGGCATAATGTGCCCAGGACGTATATCCCAGGGAATGGGACAACTTGCCACAGCCAACTCGCCGCGGGACAATTTACCAATTCTATTTAATTATTTAAAATAAATAAACATTATTTTAATTTTTGCCATTCACATTTCATTCTGTCCCTCCTTTTGCATCTTTTCTTTAATGATTCTATTCCATCAATTCTTTGATATTCGTGTAACTCTTGTCCTGCAGCGAGTTGTCCTGTGGCGAGATTGCCGGGGCAAGTTGGCCGTGGTGAATTGTCATAGACCTTATATCCCACCTTTATCTTCATACTTTGGAAACTAGCTGATTAGAATGACACCCTTCCGCATTCTCCACAATGGCTGGTAGGATGGGAGTTGGTGAACGTCGCTCATGGGAATTTTAGGAAACCCTCTCTTCTTTATATACATTCATTTCTTTCTTTTATTCACATTCCTTCTCGGCGCTAATGAGCCTCCATAAAATGTACTGCTCACAAAAATAAAGGGAACACAAGCAGAAGACATCCGAGATCTGAATGAATGAAATAGCCTTATTAAATACTTTGTTCTTTACATACAGTAGTTTATACACTGCTCAAACAACTAAAGGGAACACAAAACTACTGTATGTAACGAACAAAGTATTTAATAAGGCTATTTCATTCATTCAGATCTCGGATGTCTTCTGCTTGTGTTCCCTTTATTTTTTTGAGTAGTATATAATACTGAGATTGGGAGCTGAGTTCACACCAAGCCACCTGATGTAATAGCGAGCTGTAGGAATCAGGCAAAAGAAATTAAAGAGAACTGCTTTGGTGTACCTTCCTTTTCCCACGGAGGCGCTACCACAAGGTGACAGCCTATGTCCAGCCACCCGAGCCATTAAAACTAAAGCTCTGCGTGTTATATCTCTAAGACAGAAAATCGGTTACTCACCATCTCCCAGTTCCCACCATGCAGCCGCTGCGGGCAACACCGCTAAACTTTTCCCGAGCTACTTCCGCCGCGCGGCACACGTGTCCCGCTTTTAATACATCACTTCCGGTCATCGCCGTCAGGGGGAGGCTAGAGCGGCCTGGTTCCGTTTTTGTTATAAGGGAGCGACCGAGTCGCGATCGACTGTTGGCATTTTTCAGCTCGACCTCCCCCTCCCTGCTCCGCTTCGCCTGTTCCTCTGAGGCGCCGAAAATCCCTTCAGGGGAAAGCGAGAGGCAGGAGGACCTGGTACGGGGACGGAAGGAAGGAAGAGGGAAGGAAGGAAGCTGCAGCAGCAGGAAGGGGGCGGTCCCCTCAGAAAATCCTGCCCCTCCTTGAAGAAACGGGCAGCCCAGTCTGGGTTTTTGCTTTCGTTAGTGCAGGCAGTAGGACAGCTGGAAGCGCTGAGGAAGCAACAGGTGCTAAGAGCGACCACAGAGTTAAAATAGGCTGCAGGGATCTCAGCCGCGGATGGGAATCCTGCCAGTTGGGCTCGTTTGTTTCCAAACTCTCACTCTAACCAGCCGGGAAGAAGAAGGAGGAAATTTGACTCTGGGGGTATTTGGTTCTTCTCTCGCTTTCTTTTCTTTTTCTTCCCCTCGCACGAGGGTACTTTTCCCCCTCCGTCCGGGAGAAGACGGAAAAAGCGGCGTGTTCCTACAATACTCTATATATGAATATCCTCTCCCTCTCGGGTGTTAGGAAAGGAGGAAAAGGGAAAGTGGAGGTGCCCTTAAATTTATCTTTTTCATAATTTTCCCTTGGTTTACAATTCTTCCATCACTTCCCCATTCTAAAATTTGTCCTGGCCGGCCATTTAATATTTTTCATTATTTGATTTGGGAAGTTAACGTTTTATGGTTTGTAGATAGCCTGGTCAGGTGTTGTTTTAGTTTTCAATGTTGTTTCATGCAGTGAGGTGTTTTTTAATTGTTCTGGAAAGTGGTGTTCAATTCTAATTTGGTTAGTGCCAAAATTGCCCTGCCTATCAGGCTAGTAAAGAGTTACTTCTTAGTATGTGAATGGGGGGCAAAAAAAAGCTACTAAAAGAGTAGTTCTGTTATAGCAGTGGGTCTCAACCTTCCTAATGCTGTGACCCTTTAATACAGTTCCTCATGTTGCGGTGACCCCCAACCATAAAATTATTCCTAAAACCATTGAAAATATGTGTTTTCTGATGGTCTTAGGTGACCCCTGTGAAAGGGTCGTTCGACCCCCAAAGGTTTCGTGACCCACAGGTTGAGAACCTCTGTGTTATAGGGTTTCTCCCTCTTTAAAGTAATATAGGGAATGTCAACAAGCTAAGTTACAATTGGAGGTGGTATTTCATTGTATGAAGTATATTATCACTTGCCCTCTAGAATTTGTTCTACACTGATCTTGGTTTTGTGAAATTTTTGGGAAAATTAGCATACAAATTGCAGGAAGTTAGTTTATTGGATCACTTCCAATTGATTTCTTATAATTAACTTTCATTTATTATATTCTTGTATAATATAGGTATTAGCTTGGTTCTTGTCAGATATTTCATAAAATAGTAATTTTAGATACATATAATTTGTTTTTCTTGTAAAGTTATTCTTGCAGTATCTGTATATGCTAATCCACTTGAACTAAATAATTGGTTTTAAATGAATAATAATTGATTTATTTTTAATAGGGAATCTGCATCAATGTTATGTTAATCACTGTACAAACTCAATCAAAAGGTACAACTGGCAATGATTTCCCAGCATATCTGGTGTAACATGGTGGAATAGCATATGTCAGAGTATGCTTGTGATTTCAGCATTCCCTGCATGGTAGTGATTTCTGGGTGAGAAACTTTGCTTTGAGTCAAACTGCTTGCTATTAATAAGCAGGTGGTAATGTAAAATAAATATTTACTGAGAGATAATATCAAAAATTGTGAACTCTTAATATTGAAAAGTGTATTGTGTTGTCAACTAGAAAGTAGATGTGTAGAAGAAAACGTTTGGGTTATTTCACACTTATTTCAGATTATTTCTTTTGTAGAAATTGATTATAAATATTGTTTCAATAAAAACTGTCAGTTACTATAATCTTTAAAAGATCTATTCTCTGTCATTTCAGAGTGTATGACCCAAAGGATACTTTTTAACAAGAAAAATTCTAATTGAGAGTTAGAACAAACTTCCTAAAAGTAAAAGCAGTTTCACAGTGGAAACTATTATTCAGAAAATTAACCTGTTTCTCTTCATTGGTTGTGTTTCAAAGAAGGCTGATAAACCATCTGTTGTAGATATTTCATTTTGAATTCCTGCACTGACCAAGGTATTAGATATGATGGGCTAAATAATCTCTTTCTGATTCTGTGAGTTTTGTACCATGTGACTCAAACCTACATTTTTGTTTGTCAGATTTGAAATGAATTTGGGCAATTCGTTGATCTGGGCAATGTCATTCAGAATAATTCATATAAAAATAAAGCCATCACTCTATTAGTTTCTGATAACTTCCAAAGAGGGAAAAAATAGGAATGTTTATGACTGAGGTAGCAGGAAATTAAAGCATGGCATGACAGGCATGACCTTTGTTCTCTTGATAATATTCTATTCTGTTTTTTGCAATTAATTAACTATGAACATTGTGTTTTCGTTGATGCAGTCCAGAACTGTGTATTTGTTTAAGTTTTTGCATCACAGTGCTGATTCTGGTTTTGTTTATGATTATCTAAAGCCTGTAGATTCTTATCTGTAATGATGTAATGATGTACTGATATTTGGATATCAGTACATCAACTTTTTTTCTACATATAGTAAAGGATTTTTTGGACTATTGGATTGAATGGACTATTCAGTATGTTTATATTATGATTTGATCCATGAGGTCAATTGTCAATTAAACTTATGAAATAAGAGTTGCAATCATCTAATTTTGATCTTCTGCTTATCTTGAATCATTCTTCAATGTGTTCTGTTTCTGTTAATGATTCAAGTATTTTATTAGCTTCCTTGGTTATGTGTACATCCATAAAGATTTCCAGGCAAACTGGAATAACTTGCCTATATATGATCATTCTTGCTTGGAGAGATGTCAGATCTCATCTCTGCACTTTGTTTTTTTAAAATGCAATTTTATTCAATTTTTTAAAATAAATGTAGCAAAACGTAATATAAACTAAAGTAGAATAAAAAAGGGAACTTCAGAAGTTACAGAAAAAAGAAAAAAGACAAAAATGTAAAAAAGAAAAAGGCAACAAAGATAATACAGAAGTGACTTCCAAGCTTCATCACACATGAGCATAAGCTTATATAATAAATTTTTCACTCTCTTCTAAAGTTACAAAGAAAAAAAACCTTTTCTCCCCTTAGTCTTACTTTTATCTTTATGCAATCCATAAGAAATTACCAGAAATATAAACAAATAATTTATCCCAGATCCAATAGTCTAACTTTATATTCTTTATTTTTCCTGTTCACAATCTTAATTTTTAAATCATTCTAATGGCATCGCAGGATTTGACCTTTCATTCATCTTTGGCATTCAAGAATAACCTTCAAAGTTGTGTTTGTATGTGTGTGCATGTGTGTGTACACATATAGGCATACAGAACATATAACTTTGAATAAAGGTATGTATACATGCTGATGCCTTTGGATAAAATGTGTTAGTTGGAAGAAACTTAAGGTAAAGAATTCTTGAGTTATATATAAGACATCTTGTTTCTGTTAAATTGGATCTTAATTCCTTTGGACAGTCAGCACAGAATATTCAGTGAACCACCTAAACCAAAGATATAGCAAGCAACTGAAAAGATTTGATAAATTATTGGCCTTTCTATTGAAACAGCAAGAACTAAGTATCATTTGTACTATTAAGGATGCTTAGAGAAAAGCATGTAATAACTCTGTTTTGACAAATCAATATTTTTTAAACTTTATTAAATTGAGAAAGAGGTTAGTGTTGTGACCTAGGCTTACTAAATCATTACAATACACAATAAGTCCCAAACAAACCTATTTTATTGTAACAGCTGAGAATTACGTTCATTCCCAGCTGAGTCCCAATTAGTTGCAAAACAAGTCCTTCAGAAGAAGTTCTTCGGGATTATCACCAACCTTTATCTTCTTTGACATCCTGCCAAAGGCCTTACTTTAAAGCCCCATGAAGTTCACAAACAAGATGCCGACTGGAAACAGAGTTAGCAACATTGCTTTCTTGCAAAAAGGCCCAAATGCCTCTGTTTCTCTTTCAAGCCTTATGGGAGGGGCCAATCATCTCCTGGCCTTACTCCCGAGTTGTCCCTTTTGCTTTAGCTGCTCTTGCCTTCTGGCAGCTCTGCACATGCGTACACTAGGAACAGGCTCCTCCTGTTCCTCTGCCTCTCTGCTGTCCGACTCTGGGGGCTCCGGTGTCCGCGCATCACTCCCAGATGGCCCTGGCCCCATCTCTGCCTCCGACGCAGAGCCAACCTCAGGGCCTTCCCCAGACTCCAGGACTGGTCCATGTTCCTCTCCAGCCTCCTCACTGTCTGACTCCACTGCCAGCTCCGCAAGCTGCTGGTGGACCACAATAGTTAGTAGCCCAGAAATTAACATTTTAAAATGAAATAGCTCTTCTAAAGATCATATATGACAGGGTTTTTTTAAAATAATAATACTGTGAAATCTGTGAGAACAGGACAAGCTTCCTGACCTTATGCTTATCCTATTTAGTGGTATTGAACATATATTGTTTGAAGGAATAGAGTACTTTTTTGTTAAAAAAAAATCCATGTTTGGGAGGGAATAAGGTTGTTTATTGTACAAGCTTTAGCATGTGACTCTTATGTAAGATTCCAAAGTATTATCTACAATAATCCATCTTGTGCCTTCTGGTTTTATAGAAAATGACAAAGATTAGATCATACTAGATAACTAATTGAAATTCTTGATATACATTAAGAAAAGCTAGAATTAGCAAAAATTATTTCACTATGTTTGGAAAAGGAATTGACAGTTGATTACAGCTAGTACTCAACTCATGACCGATTGCTAAGAAACCGGTCAAAGTTACAATGGACCCCCAGAAAGGGATTTATGACCCAGATTCAAAGTTCTGATATCCAGACACCCCCTCCCCCCTATATATGACTGCATTTTGGGTGCTGAGCAACTGTATGCATTCAT